CTCCTGATAGCGCCCCTGTGGCCGAGGCAGCCTTGGTTTCCGGAGCTTTTGTCGCTTCTGGTGGAAGAGCCACTGGCTCTTCCTCTCAGAGCGAACCTCCTTCGCCAGCCTTGGTCTAGGACGATGCACTCTCGTCCGGAGATCCTCCACCTTCACGAGTGGAAGCTATCTCAGGAGGCCTCGATCAGGCGGGCTTTTCTAGGGAAGTGTCAGATCGCATCACTCGATCAATTAGGTCTTCCTCATCTGCCGTCTACCAGTCACGATGGAAGATTTACTGTGATTGGTGTGTCGGCAGGAAGGGTGATCCGATCAAGGCTACTGTCCAGGTGATTGCGGACTTCATTCTTTGGCTGTTTAGGGACCGCAATCTTGCCCCTGGCACTATCACTGGTTATCGCACGGCCATTGCTAGTGTTCTCTCTGTTCATGGTAGGCCGGAGGTAGGCTCGTCCTCCTCTCTTTCTGCCTTGAATAGGGGGTTTGGGTTGGACAGGCCTAGGGTCCGGCGGTTCGGGCGTTTTATAAGGTGAGAGCTCATGAGATCAGGGCCCTTGCTGCATCATGGGCCCTCCTCAATGGGTCCCCCTGTCAGGAGGTCATGTCCGCGGCTTTCTGGTTACCTTTACGGAATTTTATCTCCGGTCCTTGGCTTCTCATTTTGATGGATTGTATACCCTTGGACCTGTGATGGTTGCACAGTCTGTGGCTGTTCCTCCACAGTAATTCAGTGTTTTTAAATAGTATGCTATCAGGCACCACGGTGGTACACCTGCTCGTTTTAGGGGGAGGTTTTCCATTTTTTAATTACTTTCGGGGCTTTATTAGGGGGTGTCCTTGAACCTTTTCCCTACCTTGAGCATGTCTCGAGTTTGTTCCGTCAGCCTGGTCTGCCTGGATTCGAAGCCTCCAATACGGTAAGATGAATTCGCATACTAAAGTTATTGCAATTATTTCTGAAATGAAATTGAGGTTTTTTAAGTAAAACACATTTTCATGATGTCATACTTACCATAAATTTATGGAGTCCCACCCTGTATTCCTTCCCTTAACTCCTCATCCTGGCTGCCTTTAAGCTCCATAAAAGGGGTTTGAGGAAGGGAGACCACTCCATGGCTCTGTCATCGAAATATTGGTTACGTCACGGTAGGGAGGTAGGGGTATTTGAATCTTTTGTTTTAGGGCTACAAAGATGGGTGTAGGTATTGTATAAACATACTAAAGTTATGGTAAGTATTACATCATGAAAATTGGTTTTACTTCAAAAACCTCAAATTAATGCTATGATTAACTCATAATCACTTTAAAATATACCCTATACTCTTTAAGGATTTTAAAGCTATTTCATTTTCAATTATCTTGCCTACTAAAGAACATACGATTGTTGGATGCGTTTGAGCACATCAAACGCCAAATATATATAAAACAGTGGAATGTAGCTTTCGATCATTGTATTTATCCATCGACAGATATAGTATTGCTAAACAATAATTTAAAAATTTACCATTTTTTGGAGAGATTACTCCATTAAAACTCGCAGGGATACTGTGTTAGGTAACCGTTAGGTAGCGTTTTATCCCTTCTAGCGTAAATCAACAACATCACTTTATATACTATTGAATAAAAAATTGAAAAAACAGCACATGCGACAGACTGATTCTTAGACACAGGTAATTAAAACCGACAAATGTATGAATCATCTACGAGAACTCCGATTTCCCCCCCTTTACTATTGCAACCTCCTGGTAACATGCAATGGATCATTTGCTAAACTTGACCTTTAAAAGAAGAAAAATAATTTAGTCCCTATACATTTAATCCGTAAAAACTTCCCTTGTCAACTCTGACAAAAAAGTGACTACAAAATAAGCTTATTGATCGACGTCTGATTTACCTAGCGTTTACTCGATTTAGAGCATGAAATCGTTTTTATATGCAGTATCAGTATAACGATTTTGTCTAAGCAATGAAATAAATTGCTAGTTGGTCTCTCGTCATGACATCTTTTTTGTTTCCCCTAATAAACACTTCCGTACAGTTGACATTTATTGAGTTTATATTTATTTATATATCTTTTTTAAATTGGTCCAAATTTAATATGATTTAACTGCTGTTGGTGATATAGATCACAGAATGACCCGACATAGATGCAGGGACCACGAAGCCGTTGGATCAGTCCCGATTTTCCATACCACACCTGAATGTACTTATCGATGTCATCTCTTGTCATTGGCAAATGGCGACATATGGCGCTACCGCTGTTACCCAGATCTGTGTGCTATTGTTACACTCTATTATTTATACACCTTTGCTCACCTACCACGAGCTAACACGGTGATTTATTTAACAGTTATTAATCCAATAAATAGACATCCTGTTAACATAAAGGTGGATGACATTACATTATCGACATCCTTGTAACCGTAGACTCGTGTGGGGAGAGAATAGGCTGGCGACGTCAATCACTTTGTTTAACTACTTAGATTGTTGTTTAAAGATCCCTGTCCCACTGTCATCTTCTTTTTCGTTTATAAAGTTACCTCCTCTTAGTTCCGTTTTGGATATATCAGTAGAATAATTTGTCTTAGGTATTTTCGATGCTCGGGTAGCTTAGTCGGTTAGAACGATAATATAACAATCCAGTGTTCGAACCACGGTCTAGCCCCGTGAAGTTGTACTCACAGAACACTGTTGTTGATTGTATATTGTTTTTTTTAACTTTGCTATTTCTCATTTAAATCCAACAATGAATATTTTTCTTTTTTGAAATTATTGATCAAAGCTATAGTCTTGCCGAAAAAAACCCAGTTTTAAATGCGTTGTTATAGTTGTTAACAGTGGTACTAGGGTCCTTTAACTTCCTGTATACTGAAAGTCAAGTTGCGTGACAAATATTATATTATGTATTTCACTGATATCATACAATGTAGATATTTTTTAAAGCGCATTGCTCCTATGGAAGACGAAACGAGTACGATATATAGAATAAAATTATATTCAAAAGATCATGTGATAACAGCAAAAGGTATAAAAAATAGTTTTTTTTGTTGAATTTAAAAAAAATAAAAAGAGAACTGGTTAATTTCGAAATTAAACAGGTAGTTAAGTATGCATATTTTATATAAACTTAATTTGTTTTACTACAATAAAGAAACAAATTAAATTAATCACTCCTGCTGACCCAGATGGAAGCGCGTAAAGGGGGTCTTGATGTGGAAGGACACTGGAATACCCGCAGAAAACCCATGTGTTCGGACAGGTGACCCATACCATTCATGTCCGATCGGGAAGGCGAACCAAGCAGCTACTCAAAATATGCGTTTATCTGTAATAAACCTACTTAGTTATATTTAATGAAAAAAACGAAACACATACATGTATGAATTGTCACACATTTGTGTAGAGATAAAATTATGCTATACATATAAACATTGCATCGGAAAATTACGAGCATCATATTTTGAACTAGTAATACATGACAGGAAATCCACATTTATGAAAAGAGCTGAAAAAATAATTAAACTGCAACAGGAGACAGGGAGAAAGCCAGTCGTTATTTTTGTTGGCCATAGCTGTGTTATGCGATTTTAAAATCGACCTAAGAGACCATTAATTTTTGACGAAATATTTGTTTTCTCGATTGCTGCATGTAAATACTAAGAGCTTAGAAAGGATTCAAATATAGTAACATATACAAAAAGTGATAAAATGTATTCACAATCAAACGTTTTATTCGACAGATGCTTCCATTATCGCCTAAACTTCTTTATACCTTTCATCTCTAATTCCATATTACTATAATGATGATTTGGAATCATCGTCATCCTTTTTTATTTCTGGCCATTTACATTCACGTCCTTGACATCTTACGGCAGACTGTCATTGTGTCCGTATGACATTACAATAAACTACATTATTACCTGAAAGCCACTAGACGGCTTTTCTTATTTATGACTTATTGCCAGTAAATATGAAATAAGCTATTTGTTAACAAGCCATTAACGTTCACAAGAAAGAACCACATACATGAAACGTCAATACCAACTACGCACAAATGCCAAATGTCACGACATATTCTAGACGTTTTGCTCTAGATTCACAGCTGGTACTGCAAAGACCTTCAAAAATTGTAAGAAAAATACATATTTATCGCAATGACCTATCTCCTATTGTATGATAACACGACCTTAAACAGCAAATGATACCTGCGACGTCGATTTATTTACCTTTTTGTTCTTGCATATGTTATCCAAAAACCAGGACATGTACAATTATTAATGTGTTTTAGGTTCTTATGATAATCATTATTTTGTTCATATTTGTGAAATAGATTTAAATATTTCGTAATTGGTTCATATACCCTACATACAAATTAGCTATAAATCCATCGACAACAAATGTGATATGTTAATTATACTATTTAAACTTAAGAAAGACAGGATTTCAAATTTGCCTGCTCTTAAATAACTTTCAATTGAACATAATATCAACACAGAAATATAACTAAGGTAACAAAATTATTAATGGTTCTTCAGATCCGTGTAAAATTTCAATTTACAACTTTAAGAAACTCTTATAATAAGTCCAATAAATGTTCATTTATGTCTAAATATCTTTGTTATGTATATAATGCACTGTATAAACGAGGTTGATGAGCTTGGAACCAATTACATATAAATTGTAGAGGCCTAATGGTATCAACATATACCTTGAGTAAATCGAATAGGTAGAAGAGTTTGGCGGCTAGTGATGTCAACGGGAGTGTTTTTTCCACAAATACATCAACGCTCGAACGTTTGATTTTGGCGGTGTCGAACTCATTTCCCTTGGACACCAAACATGATCTATGGGTGACAGATCTTGATACTTTGCAAAAGCCTGAGCGATATTAATGTGATGTGGTTAGCTTGATGAAACAATGAACTAAAAACAATTGTGTTGTCAAGTAATTCAAAATGTATGATATGTTACAAACTATAGCGGTTTTCTTGCGTTTCTAGACTGTTGATCGGGCGTCAAGATGATGGAGATGCGGACGTCCAGTGTTACCTTTGTCTCCGTCCTACTGCTGGTAGCCATGGCAACTGTGACCGGTACGTGAACCATTAGTATAAACAACATGTCATTTTGATTATCAAAGATATACAAATACTTGATTGTCTAGAGTATTACATGCTCTGGTAAAATGCAAAGGAGAACTTGAACTCTCGAGATACCATTATACGTAGATTTATGGCATAACCAGATTCAGTTTTGCTCAGACATTGGATATTCACAATTTACAAAAATTCAATTAAATATTGAAATTTGCCATTCATAATTGTCCAAATAGATATCCAACTAAACTGTATTAATTAAAAACATAACACTAACGAAGTATCCCCAAATCCACTTCTTGTATATTGAACCTTAAAACAGGTGAACAACAGAAGACATGCATACCAGGCCAAACACGTTCATACTACTCTCTAGGTTTTCCGGCCGCTATTTTGTTAATGTATTAGTTTTCTTGGTTTCTGTCGAATATCTACATGCACAAATGCTCTACATTTCTTGCAGCACAATTTGATAGTCAAGTAACAAATGTAGAGAGTCTATATAAATATTATATTTGATTTTTGTTAATTCAAAACGCCTCAGAAACGACTAATAAAAATAGTTCATAACAGTTTTGTTCAATTCCTAATCGGGTACGATTTACGTATATGTCGAAGGAAAAGACATTGTGAAGTGCCTATGCATAGTTTTTTTTGTTCTAAATTCCAAACCGTCGCATCGACGGCGATTATCCGAAACAAAACCATCTACAAACTTTGTAAAATTCCTTATCAACTATAATGGTCAATTGAACAGACATGGGAGAGAAATAGGTGTTGATTTATTTGAGAGTTTCTCAATGAATGATCTAACACAGAATATCTTTTATATTTGCAGAGGCGGCAGAAAATGACACGTGCTCGTTTCACGAGTACTTTACTTGTGACCCAAACGCTGACTGTATTGATAGACAGGGTGTGTTTGAGACCTGTAAATGTAAGAGCGGATTTGACGGGGACGGATTTCAAGGGGAATATCACACCGGCTGCTTAAGTACGTAAACCCGACTGAAATAAAGCAATAGAAGAAAATGCGGAAGGAGATTTTTTTTTTCAAAATTCATGATTCTATGATCTCGGTGATCTCACCACAGCCATCTCTGAAAAGCCGGATCGTTAACGATTGGGCCAAACATTTTCTTAAAATTGCTGGCTTTGTTTCACGAAAGTTCCTTAATTATCATAAAATTAAATGTCATCTTCTGTATTTTCCTTTGGAGGCATCATAATTTTTTTAGGACATTTCGTAAGTTTGTAGAAATATCCAGCTATGATATCCAATGGCAAAACTTGATGCTCGCGAGTCTAGGTCCTGAAACACTACGATACTCAAGTACGCTCCCTGAGTGTAAGCACAACCAGGTACTCTAATTCCATATTATTACAATGACGATCGTAAAATGTACTACAGGATAGTTTATCCATATATATATATATTTAATGATATAACGACTTTCGTTAACATTTTTATTAGAAATAAATTAAACTATGATTACTACAAACCATTAAAAACAGTTTTTCGTTTTTAAAATAGGAAATGTTTCATGTTTCTCTTGTAGTAATTGGATCTAAAAATATCTCGTGTTCTGGAAACGACGACTGCCTAGAATATGATGCCGATTGCATTGATAACATCTGTCAGTGCAGATCTGGATATGCGCAGAATGACTCGACGGGAGCATGCAAAGGTTAGTATTGGAGAAGACAACAAAATTCCTAAAAATAACACGAGAAAGCTTCCCGAAACATTGTCTTCAATTACAGTATGACATCAAAGCCATAGTTAAGTACGGTGAAATATAAATCCCCTTGGGTAACTATCATCGACTGGTTTACTTCTTGTTGACCATTATACCTGCAATACAATCAAGTCAACTTTTTATATTTTGACCTGTTGACGGAAACCGTCATATCCTCATTTTAAGAAGATAGACTTTCAACCAAATTTAATATACAAATAAAACTGTCTAACGTTCTTTTGAAGTATATTTGACAGTGTTTATTAGACTAACGTTTATGTATTGACACTGTTTTCATTCACAATTGAATACATAACTGGTTCTATCCACACGATCTTGTGCTGGTATATAAAGTATATGCTACTGTCTCACCCATGCAACTCGCAATTAGCATAGGACGTTAAATGAATAGTTTTATCATTAAAAAATTTATGTAACAAAGTATTTTTTTAATTTTTTTTAACCGTTACATCAAAATATTCATATTGTGTGTAACGAATTTTGTGTTTGTATTTACACTTTCCAATACTTCTTCAGTTGATTAACGAATTTCAATTGCCAAAAAAATAACGTTTATATAGGATAAATGTTTCAATTATTTAAAATTATTAATTAATATTTTCACAACGAGATTTTTGGAAAACAGTGAAGGGAGGTTTTCCGAGAATCATTTCTATATAATTTATAAAATCATGAAATACATACCTTTGAATAATGTTATGTGGCAAATATTTTGGTCTTTCTTTTTCTTTTTTGTTGACTTGAATCATATTTGAATCCTTTATTACTCGCAAGTGATAACACTTATTCAGATCAGAAGTATATAAAAATCAATGTAATACCAAACTAAGTCTTAGTAACGGTACGATTCAGAACATGAACATACGAATTGCCTTATGTCGTTACGTTCAGTGTCATTTTCTGTGCCAAAGATATTGTCATGATTATTTGACTTTTTCAAAAGGAACTGAAAATAAAAAAGATGAATATTTTAACTTTGTTTCGTAGATATCGATGAGTGTAAGCAGAATCGCTGTGATGAAAACGCTAATTGTAACAATATTCCTGGTTCCTTTGCCTGTACCTGTAAGGCTTTTTTTGAGGGAGACGGATTCTACTGCAAGCGTAAGTATACAAATGACAAAAATACGACCTGTCAGGAAGAAAACACTGAAATAGACTGAAGATCATTAATATCAGTTGGTTCACCTTGGTTCTCCTTTCCTTATACTTAGTATTGTATTTGTTAGGAACGTTATTTGTCGTTGAAACAATTTCAAAATCGCAATAGCATATCTAAATGTCTATCTTAACAATTTTAGAACAAATAATAAATCCTCCGCCTCCTCCTCCTCCAACACAAATTCGGGGTTTATTTCTTAATTAATTAATTAATTCTAACTTGTATAATATATCTATTTAGCGGAAGTTAGTCATTTTGTCACGTCCATGTAATCAATGTAATCCGGTAAATTAAAATCTGGTTTCAATATTATTGAAATAAGTATTGCAGATATTCATAGGGAAATGCATTGCTTTTTTACAAGTCTAATTTTATTTTGTATTCACTATCGTCAGAAATATGTCGGGTGGACTCAAACTGCCACGTCCACGCTAAGTGTATCCTGAAGCAATGTGTGTGTGACGACGGCTACAGTGGTGACGGCATCAACTGTATAGGTAACTACTACATGAACGATGAATTGACAAGTCATTATTATGCAGTGTTATGAAAGGTAAAGTGTAGAATTAAAAGTTAAATCTACTTCCAATCCTACACTTTACCTATGTTTCAATTCAAGAATTGTAATTACACTGTATCAATGTGAAAAATGATTACATCTCAAACGTAAGTATCTCTAAACCTGAATAAAAATACTTTTCTGATGCTTATCTTTTATATACAAGGGATACTACTTTGAGCCGTAAAACCCGCTGATATGGAAACCCCTCTGTGTGATCGTAGCTGTTGCGGTGGTACCATGTACTTAAATTAAAGAACTTTTAAGATTTAAACCCCATTCGGCTTTGTTTATGTACAAGATCAGGTATACATTATTTCAATGGGTATTGTTGGAAATATGCTAAAAAAAACATCAACAAAAATCCTCTGTAATCCTTTTAAAACAGCCAAAGTATTCATACCAGATATATTCGGCGACAAAATATATACATGTATGTGAATTACGATTGTAATATGTTTTTCATAGATAAACATAGGTATAAACGTTTACCTTAGCATCCATAACTTCTACAATAAATACACTCACTTATCAGAATCATAATATCATGATATATATATATTAATCACATAACAACTCATGCTAAAAATGGTATAGACGCCACGGTAAATTGCCAACCGTCTGTTTTTCCCCAGATATAAATGAATGTGAGACAGGGGATGACAACTGTCACATCAACTCTGAGTGTATTAACAACGAAGGCTCGTTCGATTGTAGCTGTAAACCTGGCTACGAAGGCAACGGATTAACTTGTACAGGTATGGCCACACATTAACGTGTACACAATTAAAAAAAGTTATAGACACTCTATATACGTAGTGTTTTTAGGCTGGCGTATAGATAGAACTACAGATGCTTTTTATTTTCCCCCCGAGATTGAATGATCTTTATGAACGTTGTGATGTTCCCCTTTCAAGCTTTCTTTCACCGAGGTTCCTGAAATCTTCAGTGAGCATATTACTTCTACTTCTTGAAGTTTCCATGAACGCAAATTTTGCGTTTTCATTTTCCTTTCTTTATCCCCCCCCCCCCCCCCCCAAAAAAANCTAACAGTGATAGTTTTAAAAGTCATTAACACTCTATTGCTTTCTACAGTGGTGCCACAAACGTGCGATGCGATTCTACAGAAAAATTCAAAGTCCCAGTCCGGTCAATACCTTATCGACCCTGACGGCACAGGACCCATCCCCGCCGTTACGGTTGAGTGTGACATGCGCTCAGACAACATTGGTGTCACCATAGTAAAAGTCAAGGTCGGTGTCAAGTTTGTGTCACCGTGGGCTCCCAACTTTGATTTGGAATACCTGGCAACCTTGGACCAAATAAAGAAGATAGCGAATGTTTCTAAATATTGTTACCAGGAGGTGGCGTAAGTAAACTTCGTCTAACATAACATTCAAATTTGTTAACGTACAACAATACGCATATTGAACATTACGGTTTTACATTTATCCCTGATGCTCCTTTAATGATGCCAACGTGTTTAAACTTTCGGTCCTCTAAGCATACAAAAGGTATCCGAAAATACTTTCGCTTATAATTAAAAATAAATCAAAAATTGAATAGATTTAAAGTATTTATCAATTTGATTAACATAAAAACAATACTACGCGCACGTGTCGTCAACGTTCAGAGTCGAGGCGTATGCTTTTTTTTAGGTCTTTCTTACCATGTTCTTTTCCCAGTCGAGTTCAGTGCGTTTGTCATGGTGAAGCTATATACAAAGCTTTGGCAACGAGGCATATTCACAGAATTTGTGAAAAAAATATTACAGGCGATACAATGTACCTTGTCAGATATATTCTTTTGAAAACTTTTAAGAATTTTATTTCAAACATTCAGAATTACATCTGAGAAATGTGTCATCTTGTATCTAGAATTTTACTGAACAGGTTGTGATTGAGCTAACCTTACATATATAAAACCAGTCTCATTTAGATCATAATTGTTACAAAATAATATTCTTTGGAAATCTTTGTTTTGTGTTACGCAATTTCCGTGTTGTCTTATTATCATTTTTATTATTACAGACAAAGTGAACGACAGAACGTCGTTAAATGCCTCATTTCGAATTTCAAATTTGATTTTATATTGAGTTACAAGTTCTCTGATTGGTCACTTGGTGATGTGACCACAAATTGCTGTTCACAATAGCAAGTTTCGGTCGTTTCATTTCCTTTATAAAAATAATACGTTTTTGACTGTCATTTTATATTCTACACATAAGATAAAATACTGCATGAACGTATATTTTTAGACTGGGAAAGTTACAATATGACATTCATTTCGATTCATATGATGATATTCACATGTCTTCACGATTGCATGAACTTGGTTCAATATTTACCGTTACAGAGCACAGTGTCGTTGGAATGCAGTGATGTTGGGAGGGAATACCTACTGGGTGGACGGCAATGGAGATAAACAACTGACATGGGGAGGGTCGTCTGTAGAAGGCATGGTAATGAAAATCACCCATGATATAAGGAATTTGTCTTTAGGTAGCATGGCTACTATACAAGCAGATGCTTTCGCGGGTGTGGATATACACGAGTTTTTTTCCATTTAGTAAATTAGCGCGAAAATTTCCGCATACGAATATTTTTATCAATTATAAAGATGATAGATTAAAAAGCTTCAAAGATGTGTGAACATTTCCACACTGCGATTATTTTAAAGAGTCATAATGCGAATATTTCCACACACGAAAATGTCCACTGTTGGATTATGGGAAGTCATACAAGATACATAGGGAGGGTCGCCCACAGATGAAGTGAAAGAAACATGAATACAGACTGATTGAGTAAAATGTGAGATGAAATAGTAAATGACATCATAAAAGACTCGGGGAGGGTCAACTATAGATTTTAGAAACGAAAAGCACAGCATCAGATTCGGGTTGCAGATAAATAAAATTATAGTATGCATAGAGAGTCGTCCATAAAAGTTTAAAACAATATAAGGAAAGAGTTGTCTTTCTATTATTACATGGAATTTTTCTGCGTAGGGAGGGTAGTCTATAGATGGAATGGTTTTTGCGTAGGGAGGGTCGTCTACAGATGGAATGGTTTCTGCGTAGGGAGGGTCGTCTAAAGATGGAATGGTTTCTGCGTGGTAAGGGTCATCTATAGATGAAATGGTTTTCTGCGTAAGGAGGGTCGTCTATAGATGGAATGGTTTCTGCGTAGGGAGGGTCATCTATAGATGGAATGGTTTTCAAGGAGGGACTTCTATAGATGGAATTGTTTTCTGTGTAGGGAGAGTCGTCTATAGTTAGATTGGTTTTCTGAGTAGGGAGTGTCGTCTATAGATGGAAAGGTTTTCTGCGTATGGAGGGACGTCTATAGATGGAATTGTTTTCTGTGTAGGGAGAGTCGTCTATAGTTGGATTGGTTTTCTGAGTAGGGAGTGTCGTCTATAGATGGAAAGGTTTTCTGCGTATGGAGGGTCGTCTATAGATGGAATTGTTTTCTGCGTAGGAAGGGTCGTCTATAGATTGAAAGGTGTTCTGCGTAGGAAGGGTAGTCTATAGATAGTCGTCACTTCATCGAATGCTTTCCCATGAAGGGAGTTTGTTTTTAAAGATTGGATAATTTGCCATCGTAGGGAGGTCGTCTAAAGATGGTATGCTTTTCTACGAAGGGATGCTCGTCTATAGTTGGAAAGATTTTAGGGAGAGTCGTCATTTATTAATAGAATGATAAAGTTACATCCGACACGAAAAGCACGGAACGATGATATTTACAAAATGTTTTCCTACCGATAACGAAAGTGTCAATCCAATGGTACTTAAAAACATACTTGACTTCAATGATCCACGCCGTGTTTTCACTATCACACGTGGAAATATAGCTAGAATACAGTACTGAAATCAAGGGTATTCCAGTAAAATAACGATTCACTTTGTTACTTGTTTGTCTGTGTATAGTGCCCCTGCGGACAGCTAGATGGATTCTGTCAAGTACGGGGATCTAACTGTAACTGTGATGGCTCTGCCAGCTTGGTGGAAGATGGCGGGAAAATATTACGACGGGACTTACTACCGGTACAGTCAGTCCATATGAAATTAACAGGAAGTCAAAAGTTCCGGACAAAGATTGGTCCGGTGGTGTGTAGTCCGAAACCTTTCGGTTAGTATTTTATATATCTGTGTGTAGTACGAAACCTTTTGGTAAGTATTTGATATCTCTGTGTGTAGTCCGAAACCTTTTAGTAGGTATTTAATATATCTGTGTGTAGTCCGAAACCTTTTAGTAGGTATTTAATATCTCTGTGTGTAGTACGAAACCTTTTGGTAGGTATTTAATATCTCTGTGTGTAGTACAAAACCTTTTGGTAAGTATTTTATATCTCAGTGTGTAGTACGTACGAAACCTTTTGGTAAGTATTATATATCTTTGTGTGTAGTCCGAAACCTTTCGGTAAGTATTATATATCTCTGTGTGTAGTACGAAACCTTTTGGTAAGTATTTTATATCTCTGTGTGTAGTACGAAACCTTTTGGTAAGTATTTTATATCTCTGTGTGTAGTACGAAACTTTTTGGTAAGTATTATATATCTTTGTGTGTAGTCCGAAACCTTTTACAACCAATAAAATTTTCTATGTGTCGTTTCGATGACTCGTACGATATGTTCACTGTCACATTCATCAGACAAATGACCAATGAAGCGTAAGCACACAAAGGTGAACATAGAAAATGTTATTGGTTGTGTAAAAAGAACTTCTCATAATCTTTTGGTTGATATTTTATATGTCTGTGTGTGTAGTGATTCTTCCTAGCTTGTATTTGCAAATCACTTAAATATTATCAAATTATATTTGTATTCACAATAGATGTCGTAAATCTTTAAAACTCAGACGTGACAATGTAGAATGCGTGATTTATTTATTTTTATGGAAACGACTCGACAATATATTGCAGATTAGTGTACCACTGGCACGTATAATGGTATAGTGCTGTATATATGATTACGTTATTTGACATCCTATGTAAGTGTTTTAGTAATATTCATTATATCATGCATACGGGGATGTTATATATTACATTGGTATTTGTTAACTATAATAACTAACAATGCCGATGCTGCTTGTTTAAGATATTCCAAAGGACTGTGATGAAGCTAAGTTTAGACTGAACCAGAAGAAGGACGGTGCCCTCGTTATAGACATTGACGGTCCAGATGGTGATGGGGAGCCTGTATTAGTACATTGTGACATGGAGACTTACCCACATGTTGGAGTCACTGTCGTACCGTAAGTACCGTCATTATCATCCCATTCATTCAGATCAATGTATCACTTTCTTACTCCACATCACCAACTCACACACATTGGTCAATGACACGTTGGTTTGCTAAACATCACATACCTAAATACATAAGTCAACCTATCCTGTACTTGTCCGTCGTATAGGTTGTTTTGCCTTCGTGATACTGCTAGCTGAACATAGTCTGTATCTCAGACCGACCCATGTCCGCTGGAACACTCCATACCTGCCCGTTACGTGCCTGATCTACCCGTCCGTATTACTTCCGATTAAACACAATTGACATTCACGCCTCTATTACTCCTTGTGTGTTATGATTTTTATGTTGTATTGAAATACTGACATTTTTTAGAATAATTATGATAACAATGTCATGGTATGACCATTTCCATATTCTACCCGTTATCAACCCTCGCCTGATATCAGCTCTCGAGCCTCTGGTCACTCGGGATGATATATGTATGAAGGTCTGGGATTGATAGTCAATTTTTAGTCAAAATTAGAGGGGTGAAATGGTGACGTCAAGTTAGAAAATCTCTTAATCATATAAGTAAATTTATTCTCATATTATTTGGTTGTATTTGATGTACCTTTGCAATCTTTTGCCACTGACCTTAGAAGAAGAAAAATGTAAATTTTTGAAATTAACTTTATTTGCACATAAAAACGCGAGAAAAGGCATACATATATTTCCATTCTTTTCTTTGGGATTGTTATACATTCTGTAAAAAAACCCCACTTGCATTCAAAGTTTTAAATAATGTTTAACTAATTTAAAAAAAAAATCATATTTTCTTCGGTTAAAAATTTGGCGAACTTGTATCCAACAGTATATTAAAGACTACGAATATTTGATAAATAAAAGGCATTCGAAACTTAATGATATTCCATACCCAAATGCAATATCATAAACATAAAAACCATATAATTTTCATTGACATCAATAATTCCTGAGAATATGAGTTTTTCTCAAAATCATCGTTAGAAAATAGTTAACAGATGGAAAATATTTATTTATTAAGAGTACCCGGCCTTTAAAAACCGCTTTATCGACATCATGAGTAACAATATGTGATCACATCATGGAGTCCTGGTGATAGCAAACATTTCGGAAGGTTTCGTTTTCCTACATATCCATAGTAGATGTTTCGGTAAATTAAAAGATTAAATACAATCTCTAACTTGTATGAATGTTGTAAGACCAACATATACAATATGAAGTGTATCCGGCGTGTATTCTGATATAGCCAGTTCGACCTGATTATTTGTGTTTTTCTTTAGACTCGTTGCCTCCCTCCCCACCGGTTCAGGACTAAACCCTATTGAGTATACAATTGAAAACAACGTAGTTCAGAAGATCGTCGACTTCTCACAATTTTGTGTACAAGAGGCTTCGTACACTTGTAAGGTATGTTCAGTAAGATTCATCAGTTTGGAAATATGTGATATGAAAGTTTTACTTTCTATAAAAATAATGTACGTATTTAACGTGTCGCGGTGTTTCAAGACCGACTGGTCCCTTTGTCAAGCTATGACTGAGTGAGTGATTTTTATTTTGACCTGTACAACGATGTAACGAAATTATATATTTGTTCATGTCACTCGACCCGAGACGTTTCGCCTATCGATACTGCATCAGATAAGATACATGTAGGGTGTAGACTAGCCCCCTCCCCTGTTATGTCTCGGGTCGAGTGACATAAAAATAATTCCAATTTCGTCACATCGTTGTAAAGGTAAAAAATAAAAATCGCTCACTCAGTCAAAGCTTGACAAAGGGACCAGTCGGTCTTGAAACGTCGCGACACGTTTAATACGTGTAGAAAGGAAAACTTTCATATCTTGTATGGTACGTTTTTATCATAAGTGAATTATTCCAATGTTTTCTTCATATCTTTATCGACAATTGCTCCGTTGATGTTTCAAATATTTATGTCATTAAAAATAAATAAACAAATAAATACAAAAAAACAACAACAATGAATATTGAAGACGATTTGAATTCATTGACAAAAGAGAATTTTCATTAAAAAATCACTAATTAATTTAAATTGAAAATCTCTCAACTGATGTTTTAAATACCAATAATTAAAAAATGAAATAAAAGAATACTTGAGGTTGTTTTATTTTTAATTAAATAGTATTGGCTTTCTTTATAAATGTATCAATTTTGGAAATATTGAATATGTTTAACCACATTTCTTTGATGGGGTACTTTTCATCTCATCATCTTGTTGACCTAGGCAAGCACAAACACACTAGAGGTACATAAACCAAATATTAGATATATATTTTTCCTATTTTTATTTGCAGAATTCTGATTTAAAAGGCTTTTATTTCACCAATATGAAAAGTCAGATGAGGGAGTTCTTCCCTGGAGGTTTGAGTCAGACGGGGATGTGTCCTTGTGGTTTAACAGGATCATGTTCTGATCCAGCCGAATCGTGTAATTGTAATGTGAAAGATGGCGAAACAAGGATGGATTTTGGTGTGGAATTCAACAAAGAAAATTTACCAATTACTGCTATGTTTTTTAATGACATAGGAACATCAGATAATCAGAATGCTTCATATACTCTGTCATCACTGAGGTGCAGTCAGCAATCTTTCTGTGAGTATTTGAAGTGGTTAAAATTTATAATTGTATAAACATTGATTATGATAAGTGTGATTGTTAAACCTATCATATTATAATATAACAATGTGAAAATTGTTTTAAGGACACAAACTTCAACACAATTCTTTCATAAAAAATATTCTCAATTATCTATTTCAAAGGAATTATAGTATGAGATTATCTAACATTATTTCATTATTATATTGCAACTTTCCTGTCATATTGTTAGTAAAATGTATGTATTGGTTATGATTATATTAACTTATTATTGTCGTCATTGAACTGACTTTTCGCAGCATTTGAGGCGAGTTGCGAGTCGTATCTGAGGGATCGAGGGAGGACTTACAGCTATACCTACATGTTGGACCCCGACGGTCCGGAGCCAAGAGATGGAGACCAAAGTAACAACAAAATCGTTTATTTATAATAGAGATTTACAATCTTATCCTTCTCTTTTTTTCCCCTAAGTTTTGAAAAGAAAAATATGAAGAAAAAAAAAATGAAAAAAAACTATTTATCCTTTCATCGTTTGTTGAACGAACGTTTTACATATTGCATTATTGGTCCGTACCTTTCGTCTCTTAACACTAAGAATCACCTTCATGTACAGTGATTTATTTTTCATTATGATAAAACAAATTTAGCTTTTTTCTCCAGACCCAAGGAAACTACTCTTGGTGCCTTCACCATAAATTTGCGACTATAATATTATTCATTTAAGTAATTTTACAGCAGTGAATGATAGCCAGTTTCTGAACTAAATACTAGATTTTACATACTGTACGTCTTATAATAATATTCCATTTTTCTATTTCAAATCCGGGTAAAAGGTAACATTTTAGGACGAGTTTTAATATAGANTTCGGGTATGCATAGTATAACTCCCAAAATAATCATGATTAGTCTTTATTAATAAAATCTAAAAGGACAGAAAACAGTGTTTTTTTAATTAAAGACTATTTATTTATTTCCGCTGTAATTTCATTACCGAACCGCTTCAACACATCTGAAGTTGGAATTACAAATAACGCGCCTAACATTGCGGTATATGACGTAATCACTTTTTTGTGCTGTCTTGTTTAACGTTATACGACAAACCATAAAAATAGCACCTTAGAGAAATAGCCAAAATCAAATTATTCCTATATTTCTACAACGTTCCTATTGCGTGTGTGATATACCAATTGTATGTCTTCAATATTAGTCAAAGTGATTACTTATTTTGCTAAATCAGCAAAAACTAATTTCTCATCGTAATATGTAACCCATTTTTTCCAAATATACATTTATTTACTTAAAATAAAATGTTTATTTTGTGTTTGCTTTAAAATCAACAGATAATGTTTCACCTTTCCCTGTGGAATGTCAAATGCACGAAAATCCTCCACACGCAGTGACAGTTATCCGCCACGAGTCAGAAGGATCGGTATGTACAATTCTAGTTCAAAACATGTTTACGAAGATAAGAAACAGTCAATTATTATTTTCCATGCAACCGTTCGTGCGTTTAAATCTTGGCTCTCAGCCCATTGAACAACAATCCGATATACTGGGCAGGGACTTGAAAGATAATCTAATCAGGAGAGTGGTCAGAGTAATTTAAAAGGATATTCCACCTCGTTACATTTTACCGGTAAAATATAAGAAAGTATTGACTTAGTGAAACCTTATATCTTAACAGCTGTGTTTATAAAAGAAATGTTGAATCTTTACATGTAATTGTACAAGGTCGATTATATATTGACCAATCATAACGGTGTTTTCTATTAACTGCCATCAAAGCGCAGGTATTCTGTTCAGCTCCAGATAAAGCTAGGGTGGAATAAGAAATTGTTTTGTACATACTCTAAGTTGTTTACAAAACTACATTGTTGATAATGTTCTGTAAGCAAATCGTACTCGATCATTCAGAATGGCGTGCAACATCGACTTAGTGCTTATTGCAACTTCCGACAGCTATTGTGCGTTCCAGTGCTGTCGACAACACCGCCGGCCACATCTCTACATTGTTAAAAAAAATAATGATCACAAGTATGAAATATCATAGCAATCAAATTTTAAATGCGCGTATTACTTTATCCATACTCAAGATAAAGTCATTCGTTTGTTCCTAGGCGTAAAACCTCCTCATGAACTAACATTTTGTAACGATTTTCCAACATAAAAAATCAAAGCAAAGAGGAAAGACAAAAGAAGCTAGCTGATGTCAAATTGTTGATCTATATGTAACTGTATGTATCTTATGTAAGATACACATGTCTGATGTGGGGCACCATTTGACATAGATGGACTCGGTAACCTTCAGTCCTGGAACTCGTTTTATCTAAATCCTAAAGTGCATAAACAAATATCGTTTTGTCAACAAGCACTCAGTACATTATCAGCTGACGTTCTGAAATGTGACGTCATTTAATGTGAAACGTAACGTCATTTAAGTGTGATTTTGGCAAGCTGAGGCATATCTTACACAAAAATGAGACAAAATGGCATCGCCTCACGGAAATATGCAATAACTACTGTTAAGTCTTTTTGTACATCTCTTTATTTATATCATTCTATGGTAAACAATAAATATGATCTTGACTTAACTGTAAGTTATCTAGAAAAAATACTGCTGCATTACTTGTTATATTCTCAATGTCTTTGTCAGTTTTATCCTATTAACGAAAGAAGATGTAAGACAAAAAGAACCAACTATTACAGGAACACGTACACGTTCAATGTTCCATCTTGGACGCAAACGGTACGGAAGTGCTACGCAAGTGCTACAGAAACAGTACGCAAGTGCTACGCAAACGGTACGGAAACGGTTCGGAAGTGCTACAGAAACGGTACGGAAGTGCTGCGCAAGTGCTTCAGAAACGGTACGGAAGTGCTACGCAAACGGTACGCAAGTGCTACGCAAACGGTACGCATGTGCTACGGATGACGCTTACAAACTGATTTGTTTGTGGTGACAAGAACGGTTTTACATAAAAAACGGAAGCATATGAAATATCTAAAAACGAAACAAATATACCCACAATGCATAAGAAGAAACGTCAGTAAACTGTAGGCTTCGAGGAGGCACATAAGAATGTTTTAAATGTTTCCTTTTCTTTTGGATAATAGAGTGAGTGTGATACAAACAGAAATGTCTCGCGATTTATAAAGATAAAGGTCGATCAAATATTGGTATTATTTCCATCAGAAAGAACTGACGTACGCTAACAGATCAACGCGACACACAGATAATTATAAGTTATGATCAGAAGTATTTCAACCTGCTAACCGAATGAGACAAATAATTATTGACAGGAAGTAAATTGGTCACGTCTCTTTTGAACGAGAAATGTAATAATTAATAAGCCTAATAAAAAAATAAAAAATGAACGAATTTTTAGACTCCTTTGTTATTACCTTTATATCCATTTTTTCTATCGTCTTAAATACTTATATACACTTCTAGATTTTTCGTAGGAATATGAAGACCGATAACTTATTTAATTATTAGTACATGCAAAAACATGAATCGGAAGTTTGAAATGTATACATGTAATAACATGTCTTATAGGCCTATTTATCAAATTTCATTTATAGATAAACAGGTTTTTGTTATACATATTTTATTTTATTATGAAAATATAGTTGATTCTTGTTTTAGTCTACATTGTATATTGATTGGGAAGTTTTATTATATGATTGAGTACACGATAATGTATATTATTTTTCAGTTTGAAAGGCAAGCGGTGCATGTAGGTAACTGTTGTGAAGAAGAAAAATAACATGTACTTAATATATGTACTTTTTCATTCATGATATGCACCTTTGGTATTAATAAGAATATAGGTGTTTCTTTGCTGACTTTTCTACAGCAGGGGCGGATCTATAATTTTTTAAGGGGTTGTTACCATTCCAGATTTTGATACTCTAGCAGTGCATGTACACTACAATTCAGGATTTGAAAAAGGCAGGACGCTGACCAGAAAAAGGGCACTTTTAAGCGCGCCACATGTTTTTTAAGGGCATATTTTAGCGCATCAGAGTTTTTTTGGGGGCAAGCAAATTAGTATACTTCATACATTCTCTTTGTATAAGGTTTCATTTTCTTTTTTCTTTTGATTTTTGTGTTTACTTTCAGCTATGATTCATCATTACCATAAGTTGTTTTGGTACATGTCAGTACAATCTAAATATTCCAATTTTCATTTCATTTTGTTTTCGTTCGCGGGGGTGGGGCTGTGTGATATATATCTATGTAAGGATGCTCACAGTTTCGCTTTTCTCTAGTTCCACATTAAAACGTTTTTGGCGTTATTGAAGTTGATATCGTTTTCCTCAAATTTCAAGTCTCCTTAATTAAGGACTTTTACGTGAAACTGGTGATGGAGAATGGTTTCGCACACACAGCAAGAGAAAATATTACACCGGTGCAGAGACGTATATATATGGCTGTAAAGTATACGTCTCTAACCGTTGTCAAGCTTTATATAGACAACACCACAATAAGATTGAGTGGCAAAACTACATGAAATTTTGTTAATCAGTGCTCAATACAGGTAAATGCTACAACATCTCATATTTTTTCATACATGTACGGTGCCTCATCGCCAGGTTCAAGTTCTGTATTTCTTTCAGTCGTTCCACTCACCAGTTACAAAGTAAAAACATTTGTGACATTTACAGTGCAAAATAAAAAATAACATTACACAACATTGCAAACACTCACAACACAGGTACAAATAGAAACAGTATCATATGTTTGAAGAGTGCAATTATATATATTTATAATAATTGGGTTCTCGTATTTGAAAATTTTACATATTTCCCTAAGTTCATTTTTTCTTTTGCATTTTTTAAAATTCAGTAGTCCTTTCAATTCGAACATGTTTGGCTTTCAAATGTAATAAGTTTTGAAAAAGTTTGCTCGCAAATCAGAATAACAAGAGCATTTTAGAATAAAATGAAACGCCATCAACACCATCTTTACATACATTACACAGTCGACGATGCCGCTCAATTCTTTGATATCGCCTTTTTCTAGTTTTAAGTTATGAAAAGATAGTCTAATTTGTGCAATTTCTTTTAGATATTCTTGTTGTATGGGTTTACGCTGACAGTTTTGAGGATCAAAATGACCGTAAAGATAAATTTAAACATTTGCTTTTCAGGATATTCATTTTTTTTCTGCACATTCTTATCTAAAAATATCAATTAATCTTTCTTTAATTAATGGATAGAAATTTTTGTCGTTAATATCATATTCTGATACTGTCCACTTTGTAACTTTTTTTTTCATTTTCATTCTCAACAATCTAATATTTAGAAGTTTGTTACGTATTAAGGTTGATATTCAACCTTCGTCGCTGATAACTGAACTCACGATAGATTATCAAAACAAAATCATCTAAGTGAGAAGTTAAATATCCTAATAAGGGACATACATTTTTTCCCATTAAATTCCAATATTAGTTTACCTTGGTAAAGACACTGTTGTGTAATGAACTTGTGTCTGGGGCTATCATTTCCTGACCAAGGGACCTATTATCTTACCTGTAGGTTTTTACTTTGAACTGATTTACCTGCATACAGCTGTACGTGGTGGACAGACAATAAACTGGATTGATTGACATGGACTTAATTGCCTTGAATTCAAACAAGGTGACCTTGATCAGGTACGGCCTATCAGAATCCAATGTAGACTACAGGTGAATGGTCAATGTGTAATCACTGCCTATATTCTCAGGTATAGATATCATATTAAAAGAAAAGTATCTGTCAGCGAGTGGTCATGTTGCCCCAAAAACCTTTATAACTGCCACTGAAGTTGTTTGTACCTTTAACAAGGGACAGGTCATTACCACATGACCAGCTATATGCCTGTTACTAAGATTACCCCTCAGCTGTTGGTTTTGGGAGCACACATGGGCGGATGGCTATTTATGTCCATGAATATGTAAATTCACAATATTAGTCTCATTAAAAAATCGACATATGTGGGGTTTTTTCTTCAGACTCTTATGATAATCGGAATAATTTTCACGTAATGCGGTTGATAATGATTTTTCGACAAATAATATTCCGTAAAATTTTCGACCGAACGTTTCACAAACGCTTTTTGAATGGAAAGATGTAGACGCAAGTGCTTCTACGGAAACGATACGGAAGTGCTACGGAAATGGTACGATAATGGCACGGAAGCGCTGCGAAAATGCTACGCATGTGATACGCAAGTACTACTCAAACGGTACGGAAATGCTACGCAAACGGTACGCTGAAAGTGGAACAGCGAACGTGTACGGGTCTGTATGTAGGTACTGAGGAAATGAAAATTCTAGTCTCGGATGTTGAATTGAGGCATCACATAACCTCAGTGAGCCTCTTTTCTGGCCAACATTTTAAACTCTCGAGTAGAATTTGATACCTTCTTATGTGATACACTTTATTAAGGCAAAGGTAAAAACCATTGTCACTATTGTGAAATAATGGTTTAATTTCTTTTCAAAATAAGAATTTCAAAACTAAAACAATACAAGTTGCAATGCATTTTATAGAATTATAGTTGTTCGTTATCTATCTTATTCGAAAAAAAGAAATACAAATAATGAACAACTGCAGGGGTCAAGCTCGAGACCTGCACATTTCAAACCTTTGCAAATGTTTCCATTTAGGAGTTATAAAAGCATATCTTTAAAATGAGTGTCCAATGTATTGTCCGCAAAGCCTATGCAAACTTGACATGGGAAGTGACTCTAAGTGCGAAAAAATATCCTTTTGGTTGTTTCGTCTTCGATATAGAAGTAAGAATACTCTGAAATAGAAAAATATTTTCATGAAATAATATAAAAAAAACAATCAAACAAACTCTGAGCGGAACCCTTTCTTGCAGTTATATCTAATAATGTGATACCAGTTTTCTTAAAGTATCACAATAAATCTTTGTATATTAAGCGTAAACTTGATTGAAGGTACATGTATATGTATTATGAAAGCGTAAAACATAAGGTAGATATTTGTTCTTTTTCATACAGAGACAAGTGGCTGGTGTCTTGGCATACGTGTATCGCATGGTTGACACCCTGCAGTTACAGAAGTTGATTGCAAGAGCTGTTTACTGTACCCAGTCTGTTACCTACACGTGCAATGTTCTGGGGCCCATGCACGACGCATGTAAGTGCAAACTCGCGTTAGTTTGAGTTTGATTATTTTTAAGTTTATTCCTAACAATTGAAATATTTTCTTTATATTATTTTCATTTTATGATTTTTCAACGATCTGCTTTACTAAAAAACATCTCCTCATTCAGGCAGATATTTAAGTGTCCAGCGGAGAAATTATTTAAACGTCTACTAGTGAGGATTAGTTTTGTAAAGACTGCATTTTGTATGAGTCAAATATTAGATTAGTGCAGCTTACACAACTAATTTATCTTATTGTTTCAGCTGGAGATTCAATTATATCCTGGATCGGACTGGACGGTAACAAACATGAATACCTTCATGGTCAGAATGGAGGCAGTTGTCAGTGTGGCTTGATTAACACATGTCAAGGACCGGGTGTGTGTAACTGTGACGGCACCTCCTCAACGTACGTTCTCTTATTCAAAGTTGTATGTTCGTATTTTTATCCATGTTTGCAAAAATTTGTGTGGATCTTTGTCTCCTTCTGTCTATCTCTGTCACTATTTTTCCTGTCTGTTTATCATAATGATCTTTTACTAATTAAAAAAGTTATTGTCAAGCTTATAATCAAAGGTAGGAGTTAATGTGTTGTTGTTATCTTCATTCCTTATTATTGTTGTCCTGGTTTAACAAACAAATGTTATCTATTGCGCACAAAAACAACAATTGTTAAAAGAATAATTCAGATAATGTGTTTTTTTAAATTTTGATATAATGTAGAAGATTTCTTTTAATATTGGATGTCTAACTGCAACTATTCATATCTTTTGCAAGATAGAAATAAGGTAAGTTAGTTAATATGTATACCAGTCTATATAGCACATTCAGTGAGATTCTTATGTATGACGTTTCGATCGCTAGGACGATATGTACTATTTCACATTTATCAGCATGATGACGAAGGTGATAAAGATGATGATAAACGAGGCCGATTACATACTGAGCTATATGTGGCCGTCAAAAGTCACACATACACATTTCACTGATTTATGAAAGAGTATACATAAAACTGCTTGGTTGTTCGAAAAAGAAACAATCTGAGAATAAACTATGAAATACCATCCTCGAGTCAATCCTTCTTGGTTTGAATGAACAGAATGTTTTTTTTATATATATTTTCAGGTCAGATTCTGGCAAATTATTCAACAAATTACATTTGCCGGCGATGAATTTCACCTTTGCTGACCCGAAAAGCAGCAATGACCTTAACCTTGGACCACTTATGTGTTTCGGTATGTACACCATTTATATTGAAGCTTTCAGGAACAATAACCTCAACATCAGACCACTCCACTGAGGTTCCTGGAATTTCAAAGGTACACGAGGTTGAGGAATTTAGATTTTAAGAATTTTTAAGAATGAACCAGGATGGATTACCAAAACAATGAACCACAATGAAGTGTGTACATGTATGACACTTCTCTGTAAACCAAAGCTACTGTTACTGACAAGGTTTTTTCTTCTTCTGGAAATGATACATTTGTGCTCTTATTGAATAACTAATAATGTTACAGATTTACGTCCAACGTGCAGTGACCTTCTTGAGGCCAGGAACAACCGACTGTCAAGCGAGGTATTTATACCGACAAATACGCCATACACCATCGACCCTGATGGTGCCGACGGGGAAGGACCATTTGTCGTCTTCTGCAAGTTCCCCCAAACCATCATATCTATATCTCCAGGTCAGAATGATTTCTTTATTATTATTTTTATACTTATTTTGCTAACTTGTAATATAAAACTACTTCAAAAAAGGATTAAGTAGCAGCTTTCTTGTTCTATAAATCAGCACTTCCTTTAATATTGGGTTTATCATTTAGGCTAAAGGGGTACCACTGCATCAGTAATAATCACAAAGAAGAGTTCTATTTTGCATTTAGTGATCTCTCTTATATATAGAAGATGAAACAAAACAAACGTTTCATTTTTGGCTCAGTGTTTACTAGTCTTGTAAGCGTCTCTCAATGCTGAATCGGATTTTCATTTTGTTCATGTAGAAGACCTGGATAGCAACATTGACGAAGTTGCAAGTTTATAGTTCCTTTTTTTTGTTACTGATTTCATTCAAGTTCAAACATCTATAATACTGTTCAGTTCATCGCAATTATGCTTTTTGTAGAATATATATTATTTTTGAAAAAAAGCTGAACAAATACTTTAAAATGTTTTCATTTGGTGTATCAATAGCTTTTTTTTATATAAGTGCTGTAAGGAGGTTTATCTAAGAAAGTATAGCTGCAGCTGCTATTTGCGGTACATAGCCTAATCATCACTGCTATGATCGCGTCACTACGCGTTCGAAATATAGTACCTTAAAACCATAATCTAAACGTTCCCATTGACGCTATTAAAAAAGAATTGTATTCGTTTCAGGTGTTTTTCATTTGCTGTTCTAGATAATAACCTGGTCTCGTCGATAACAACTACACATTTTGAACTGTAGAGGAAGCATACCTCTTTAGTGCATTTTCCGTATGAAAAACCAAAACATAAGCAATAAACTACGTAATTGTTTAAGAACAACTGGTGTAACTGCAACCTCGCGCACCATTTAGTTTGTCTAAAATATCTTTGCAGTTAATTGATTAGATAATGACCTTTATATTAATATATTTTTTGCAAATCATTTTGATTACTTTTTTAAGATAAATACTGTGTGTTCACACATTTTTGTGGGGTGTTTAATTTCGGTTTTTTCGTGTGTAATCTTTGCTTTACATTTAACTGTTTTTAAAATCATGGTGTATTAGATAAAAATGTCATTCTTATTATCCGATTAGCTTAAGCAATTCATTTATTAATAAACACTAACCCTTCGTGTTTGTAGACGGCACAAATTCAACAGGAAATTCACCAGGTGAAGGTGTAAATAAATGCTTCACAATTACTTACAACAACGGCGTGTCTCCTGCACAGATAGAGGTAAGGTACCTTTCTTTCAACACACACAAATCAGTTCAACTGCCTTGTAATTAAAAGAAACAGTATTTCAAAAACGTGTCAAATTTGAGATCAATATAGATGTAGTTTCCATTGGGTATTTGAGGAATTGTCACATTCTGAATGTAAATCTCAGGTGACAGAATTTAACAACAAAAGAATGCTAAGTGTTTTCATAATACTAGAATCATGTAAGAAACTAATATAGCAAATGTTACCGTCTTCGTTTACGAGAAAACAATAAATTGGCTTTAAATATGACAACAATACAATATTGGGCAAAACATTGTACAATCTGTTGTTTATGTATTTTTGATTGAAGCAGTTATTTATTTAGCTGTATTTAAATCTCGTTCCATTTTTTTTTTAAATTAGTTTTTTATATCATCAAAAACTAGTAATACTTAAATGAAGACGGTAAATTTATATATTTCCAACAGGCACTCATAGAAAGGTCCAATTACTGTACACAACATCTCAGTTACGACTGTCGAAACGCACCAAAAACTGACCACGTCTTTTACAAGAGCTGCAGTGGAGAAACGCAACCAGGTACGAAAAGTGTTCAATTAATTTCTTTTCCTGTTCTTTGCGAAATGCAGAAGATACTGTTTGAGATTCCGTCCGTCTGTTTGTCCCACATTGTTTTCCGGAAAATCAAGTCAATACACATTTATAAAATTGAGACACACTTGACAAATGTATAAGTCATGGCCATGTCGCACTGAGCTTTTTGATAATTTCTCCAATTCTTATAGATCGATGTATTCGAACATTGAACTTCTTGCATATTGATAGAATTCAGACAAATGCTTTTTATTTTTAAAAGCAGTGCTCAGGCTAGGAATGAGATGAGTGGAATGCATACGCTTTTTATGTTTCGGATAAATTGATCGGTGTTTTCTTAACATTAGTATATATCAGTCAAATATAGCATGTGCTCATGTAATGGGAATGGGTGGACCATGTCAAAATATGCTTTTTTTCTCTCATTACTTCTAGACGATATGACACGTACCGCTTTCAGGTCGAAGCATGCTAGAAATTAGTAAATCCAAGAAAGGATGATATTGATTGATCATTCATCTTTTGGAATTTCGGGAAACGACAATATTATCAATTCAGCTATTGTGGTTGATGTTATGTAGGCTGGGGCGGTTCAAACGGACAGCCGAAATGCGCGTGTGGAGTGACAGGCACGTGCAGTGAAGGTGCTGATGCTCTGTGTAACTGTGACAATGAGGACGGGGACATCCATACAGATGAGGGTTGGATACACAACAAAACGAGACTTCCTGCCTGTGAAGTTTGCATAACACTTGATCCAGTAACTGATACATCGACATCTCGCTCTGCTTCCTACAAGGTGACAGACCTGATATGTAACTCCGGTCCTATTGGTTCGTATTCATTATGAATATTTCGTCATTTTCAAAGTCTGCTTTTTTTTCTATTAAACATATGCAAAATGTTCATAAATATATTTGTGGGAAACTTACATAACGTTGTTAAAACGCTATTTTGAGTAAGAGGCAAAAAGACAACGGGAGCATATGACTATTGTCTTGTCCTTAGGGTCTAATAGGTACTGAATACCTATACAACAGTATCGTCTGCGTTAGATAAATGACTTTTCTTGGCGCTTATCGGTGTCTCAAATTATCCAAGGCATTGCTCTGGGGGAATGAGTGTAAACATTGAAACAAGAACGATCTGATAGAGAAAGTCAAAATTGAAGTGTGTAGGGCTACAAAAGCATGTAAATGGTACCAGTGTTGTGAAACACCGACTTCATATCGCAGTATCATTTACTACAGTTGTTTGATGATATGATGAAACATCGTTATCACTATCAATTCAATGATAAAGATGGTTTTACATTTTCAATACCAATAAGCGGTCATTATCAATGTCCTTATCAGTACTTGGTTTAGCTTAAATTAATCTGGAGCAACAAGGAGCAATTGATATCGACATATATATTAACATATATATATATGTGTGTGTTGCTAGTAAAGCTAAAAGAACAGACGGAGCAATATTAAGCATTAAATGAATTAATGTATACATCAATATATTGCACTTGAGTAAAAGAGGTCAAATACAAAAAAAATTGTCGCTCAGGTCTGGTTGGGTCGTGTCAGGATCGTCGTGATGCAGACATCGTTGAATCAGCAACTATCTTTGTGGACTCGGACGGGCCTGGTGTGGGCAATCCTCCTTTCCCTGTCTTCTGCCGTCTTGAAGCATCACCACGTACTGGTACTGCGGTGAGTATGCAGTATTCCAAACAGACTGTAAACGGATAACGGACGAACATGTCTGGAAATATCCATAACTTGTTGAACCAAATTTAGACTTGGTATACGCTTAGATTCCAGTTGGCATCAGGGCAGTCTAATGGCTAAATACTAAATGAGCTGGAGTTTTGGTTAATCTTAAACAGTCTATCATCTAAAATATGGTAGTACTTGTTTAAAGTCTCTTAAAAAGTAAAACAGATTTTGTATAAAGTATAAAGACTCTGTCTAACGTCTACGTTAAGATTGCACCTTTAATTTGTCTGGAAATTTATAATACAATGTCCGATTAAGATACAACTTTCATCTTCATGTTTCGTACGCACATCAGCTAGTTATAAGGATTATGCTTCTTATAGGTTATGTTATAAGATTATTTTTGTCAAGAATATATATGTGTGTCGAAGATACAATAGGCCAAAACTAATAATTTCAACAAAACTCGAAATAGTACATGTATCAAAAATATTTGAAAAAATGCAAAATGTTATGTCATACTATGGTGTATTATATCATGTTTATACAGGAGATTCGTCCACGCGAACCGGAGTACCCAGTGCCTACTAACGGGACAGTCGTCATACTCTACTTCGTTTTTGATATATCTTACGTTTATGAACTGGTAGAAGAATCCGTGTACTGTGAGCAGGCTATATACTTGTTGTGTGGGGATGCCCAGGTACCGGCGGATGGAAGGGATATGGATGACTGGGAACAAGGACCTAACGGTACCGTACACACGCACATACTTCCTTTATTACAATTACGCTGTAGATTCATCCAGGCTTTAACCTGTTAAACCCCTCCAGAATACTTCGTCATTTGACATTTCGCCCTATGCCCATTCGACTATGTACTTGTTCACATTTGGCCTGTTCACCTTTTACAAATTAGACATTGCATCTGTTCATTCTTTTTGGAGTTCATCATAGATCAGTTCATCTTTTAAACTGTTCGCTTTGGGTCAATTCATTTATATACGTTATTTGATCGCCAAGAATTAAATCACGCCTTTTAACTGTTTTCCCCGAATCATATCGTCGTATGTTTATATTTGCTCTAATCTTAATTTGAATGGAAAAATTAATTAACGATTAGATAATTAACAAAGATTGAAATGTCAATTAGTCCCTGAAAATAACGCTTTTTTTCCCTTCTTGGACTTTTCAAACTATAAAGGACAGTGACAAATTGTTCACGTGAGCGATCCGACTGCAGTGTGTTTTTCAAGATTTATCAATGTGTTCGCTCGTGCACAAAACTTTTTGCGCTAATATAGGTAAAAACATCGACGATTTTCACACCTCAAAAATTCACTTTACAGAAATATACACATTTCAGTTATTGTTGGATTCATGTAACATGTTGTAGGGACGCTTTCGTGTAAGGCTGGTAAGTGTGAGTGCAAAGGCGACGAGACTTACGGAGGTTTCGTAATAGTGAAAGGATCCCTGCCCGCACAGTTTGTCCAGCTCCCAAAGGGCGTACAGGGCACTATATATGTCAAGCCTATGGAATGCTACAGTAAGTATATATCATGCAAAGCCAAAATCTGAGCCTTGTTTGAAACATTTATATCTAAGTATTTAACCACCCGTTTGTTAAACGAAACATAATCAGCTGCACCGGAATGTTGTGAATAGAATCAGTTTAAAAGAGAGCATATGAGCCCACAAATTTGTTTTTTAGTTTTGTGTAACAATTGAAATCCGAAAGTTTATTTTATATAAGCTAATTAATGATAGAGTTAAATCCTATGTACTGTGTGTATCGTTAACACTTTATTGCATGATTGTCCTCATTGGGTGTATATCGAAAGTGTTTTGTAAATTTAGATAATAATCGGATATATATTGATGATTCCAATGACTCAATTAATTATCTATGAATAAGGTATACAAGGTATACTATTTCATATCGCCTAGTTTAATTTTCATGTATACATAAATAAATAAACAAACAAAACTGCTGAATTTTAAGTTTTGAAAAAGTTATATATGTAAAGAATCCCTGGTTATAAATGCTCTTTATCACGTTTACTTAATCGCAATAATAGCATTGTTCCTAAGATAGAATTATTTATTGTAACAGAACATTACTTTGTACAACTTATTAATCTTGTGAATGGAACACCATCCTTCATGTAGATGTTTATAAGGACTGCCATGAAATTAAAGTAAAGGGTGCTATCCTTCCCGCGAGAATCAACCCTGAAAGCGAGTATGCTATAGACCCTGATGGTGCAGGTGGAGTGCCGCTATTTGCTGTTACCTGTGACTTTACGACAGACAAATCAATCGGCATTACCCAGGTTAGTAAACGGTCACCAGCATGGTTTGCAGAAATACAGTGGACAACACCTTTACTATTACAGACTATTAAGTACAGGACGGTCCATGACATTTGGAACCACTTTCATCGAATTTTCTTTAAAATAGGAAAATATCTAATAATCAATTTATTTTGAAAACAAATTGAAGATAAGTTAAATTGTTGCTGGATCTTCAATGGTTTCCCGTATAATACCAAATATATTTCACGGATATGACAGAATAACGATTCATTACATACTTACTAATAAATACGGGGTTTTTGTATATGCGATACGACACAATTGCTCTAACACATATCAGCTCTCGCCGTATCACACCCCAAAACCCGTATCAGCACCCACCGTATCACACCCCAAAAGCCGTGTCAGCCCGCAAACCCATATCACACCCCTTTTGGATTTTTTCCGTTTTTCAATATTCCAAAAATAAAAATAAATCATAAGATAGTATTTTTTTTTTTAGTAAGTATGTAACAAACAGAATAAAACACGCCTTTTTCCATATCACACCCAGTATCAACCCATGTATTATTCTATATATAGCGATGAGCGTTTTGCATATTATGCCGCATGAGTTAAATATATATGGTGTTCAACGAGAAAACCCATTTTTTTCATTATTACACTGTTAAAGTACAATGATGAAAATAGAAAAAGTACGGGAATTAATAGTGTAATGTTTGACCCCATATTCTAATGATTTCACGCTTGACAACATGACTGCATGTCAGTTTGACACAATTCTTCCGTTTTCTTTTATCATCTGGTAAGATTTGCTTCCTCTAAAATACAGCGATTGTCTATAGCAGGATATGTTGTACATTGCATAGAGCAAACCTTTACCAAAGCAATCACTTATGCTACAGTTGCTTCATCTTAATCTCGACTTAATACTTCGGCTTTGAATGCGGATCATAATGTACAGTTGTTTCATGCCTTATAAGTCAACAGTCAAAACTATTTTCCCCGATGAGTTGGGACCCACCAGATGAACTGTTTCCCGAGGCCGCAGGCCAAGGGAAACAGTTCATCTGGTGGGTCCCAACTCCCCTTTAAAACGTCAATGAAAAGTGATAATTTGAACACTAAAACATATACGCTTCTAGACCATTTCTTAATAAAAGGTTCGATGAGTATACAAAGTTAAGTTTAAAAAAAAAATCATATTTTATTGATCAATTGATTCAAAAGAATCGAACAACAGATTTATACTCCTCCATATTTTGAAATTCATAAATTAAGGGGGCAACTGCCCCTTTGTTTGTATTGTAATTAAGACAATTTGTATTTCAACCTTTTGGCCCTAGCATCGCGGATGAGTCCTAGAAAGACGAGACGACAGCTGTGTGATGCAGTGTAATTAATTTGGCTTGACATAGTGTATCTATTACCATCTGTATGTGTGTGTTACGTGCATATGTACATATGGTAAGTTCAACCAATGTTGTTTTTTTGTGCTTGCTGAATCGTATCGTGGTCTATTTTAGGTGGATAATTCCATTGATGGCCAGATTAGTGTGAGTGGACAACGAACATCGACTGAATATACGGTTCCCATTGAATACCCAGATGCATCGCCGGAACAGATTCACGTTCTTGCCAATATTTCCAACTTCTGCTACCAGGTTCGTTGTAAAGTCTTTTGTTCTAAACCAAATCTGCTGCATGAATCACTTCATATTATTTACAATTTAAACCATAAGCAATCTTGTTAATACCTTTTCTGTCATCGTCCTATTTAACAGCAAAATGCAAATTGTAATATTATTGCCATTTTGGTATTTTAAACAAAAAATCTTATTTTGGTGGTTTTGTGACAGATAACGAAAGAATGTTAGTAGTCTCCCCTGTTTGAACAACACCAAAGCAAGTGAAATATATTTTGTTTTTCCACAGGGTATCCAGTACCAGTGCAGCAATATACCGGCTATGCGTTTAACCATGTATGATGGGGAGCAGAGTCAGAGCGTGGGGACTGGCTTTGGCAGCACGGACGGGTGTCCCTGTACGCTCACAGGGGAGTGTCCCAAAAACCAAGTCTGTCAATGTGACGCTAAAGGTAGGATGACGATTTGATATATGACAATTATGTTTTGATGCTGAACTAATTAATGCTGCTAAGAGTTGACGCTATCAACAACCAGGGCCAAGATGTGCAGGAGGTGATAAGCGTTATCACTGTTTATCAATATTTTCGAACCTCTTATAATTTTGTGAATGTACAAGGGAAAGACTCGTAACTATGTACACAATTTTACTGTACTGCTACTTGGAAAGAAAATACCAAGTTAATGGTTGTTTTTGCGCTAATCACTGATTGAGCCAATCACCCTAAGAACAGCTGGTTCCAGATTTTAAAGTTTTAAAACTTTGAAATTGGTGACAACTACCTGTAACTTTGACAGTAGGAAGGCAAATAACAGCGGGGATTTTAATTATAGCTTTATATAACATCGACATTGAGGAAATGACGATAATCGATATAAGAAACTTTGAAACGTAGCATGGGGCGACGAATGCGTTACCCAAGACACGATAACAACAACAATAAGTCATTTTACTTTGACACTAAAGTTGGAGCATCAACTAGGTGCATGGCGCTAGGGATACGCCGGCATCAGTTTTATGCAAACTCAGTAACCACATGATATTTGTCAGTCACTTTGATATTTAGTGTGTCAATCAACTAAAGATAGAACAAATTCAAATATTTTGCTGAAGCAAATATTGTGATTGTTACTAGGTCCAATGGTAACATACGACTATGGCTGGGTACTCGACAACGACTTGTTGCCAATTGAGAAAGCGAGGTTCGGTCCCCCACAGTCGGACAAAGAACAAGGTATCGCCACGATCAGCGGTGTCAGGTGTGGACCCAAGCCGTTCGGTAAGTCACTGTGTAAACAAATCACTTTTCAATCAATCAAAGACGATTTTTTATGTGTCTGACGAAAAGAATTGTATTTTGATTAAATCAAATCGGATATTACTTAAGTAAACATTTCTTTCTTTCTGGGGAGCTTTAAGAAATGATAACATTAATGGTACTCAGATATAGCATTATGGATGAGACTGTGTGATGAGGCGTAATGTATATAAATCCGGTCCTTGACAGAAAAAGAACGTTTTCTCAATTCACCCTAACCTATCTCGACAAATGGATACTTTTCCTGATTTTGCAAGATGTTTAAAAGCCAGGCGAAAAAACCCAAACATTATATTGGTTGACGTGGCGATGATCTATTATTACTGAACCAATCTTTTGGCTACTACTAATTTTAGTTTTGTTAAAAGGCGTCGTTTGAAAGAAATTATAGCAAAATTCACCGGTGTTTTTAGGCAAATTTATGCCTTGATTTGTTTTCATCTTAAGCAATATTGAAAAACTGTTTGAAAATATCAGTCGCTTTAAGTTCATAACAGACTAAGCATGCACAAAATTCATGATCAAATGTGCTATTGGTTATATAAGCATAAAAACTGAAGTATATTATTTTTAATCTAATATATACGTTTCTCGTTAACGAAAGTGGTAACTTTTTTTGTTCGGATTAGTGCATGGCTGACGTTGTTTAACGTATGCTCAACTTTAAGGCACGGTAGTTTAGTGGCAGGATGCCGGGATCGTGACTGAAGGGTTGCGGGTTCGAGTCACGGCACGGCGCTGTGCTGTATCTTTAAGCAAGATTCTGTACTCCACTTGTTCCAGCCTACCCAGCTGTAAATGAGTACGTGGTTGGGCAGTGCTAGAATCGTTGAATGCTAGCTGTGAGCGCCGAAATGACAGCAAAGATGTTGGCTGCTTGCAAAGGCCCTATAACCACGGATAATAACTTGTGAAATGCTTTGAGACGTCCTACGAACTAGGTTGCGATAAAGTAGTTTATAAGGACTTCGAATTATTATTTTTATTATTATTCAAATCATGTTTCATAATATGTGAATTCTGAATTTGCGTATTGTTCTAATGCATGCTACCTAGGGTTCACACGACGACGGCCATTTAGTCAAGAATAATTTGCCCTCTACACTTGCAATGGATATCATATTATATTTAAGTTGTAGTATTCCCCGTATCAAACATGGTTTCATTCGTGCACACAATATTATTGAAAAGAAGATTTCAATCTTAAAATTGGTAATTAGTGAAAACAAGAAAAGCAAATAATGTTTACTTACAGTAGACTCATGTATTTGAGCGTTCGTATTGTTATTTCAAACACTTGTTTGGTAATAGAAAGGCAAAAAAGTAAGTATGCAAAAGAGTTAACAGTAATTATCAATTGATATAAGTTATATAAATTGATGTGTAGATCTAAACCAATATTCAACTATTGATTTATTTGAATGAATACATTTGTCAGACATACCGATGGACTGTGAAGATGCTTATTCCAAGGGGTTCAAGACAGGCGATATTATGATCATGCCCTCAGAAAATGTCACGCCGTTCTTTGTTTACTGTGATATGGACATTGTACCTGGTCATGGTAAGTATACACGCCCTGTCATCGTTGACCATAAACGTACCACAAATGTCTTTTCATTCACTAACTTCGATTTCTCGTATAAAACGTTTCATTCGATGCATCAATATGTTGATGATTGCTGGGTTTGAGGAAATAAGAAAACAGGAAAAGCTTATTTTGATGCACACGGCATCGAGGTTTGTGTTTCACAAAACATGCAATATAAATTGCATGCTATGATATGCCTATAAATTTTGAAAAAGACTGAGGTTTTTTTAGTGTAATTATTTAAAGTACCATGGGTGTACACAAAAGATAGAGCTGAATGTTTCTTTGTTATTGAATTAATCATCATAAGCGTATTTTTGTCAAAGCAATTTTACCTTCGGCAATTAAAATTAATAAATATTTTGTAAGAGGAATCATTAATGAACTGAATTACGTCTTAGAGATCCCATTTTATGGTCATTTGCCCTCACGGGAGATTGTTATTGATCGATTATAATGCCTTGTAGAAATATAATCTGTCCATGTTTCTGTTCTTGATTTTGATATGACATAGTCGGCATTTGATTACCAGTATAACAGTGACGAACATAATGTAGAACGATGGCATAACGTCATAAGCAAAACTCTTAATGCTCAACACATAAGTCCAGGTTTGAATAACCATACGTTGGTACAAAATTTAAAGTTTGTATTACACTGTAGGTGTGACCGTCATTGGAAATGACAAAGATGATGTACCAATCGAACTTGACCTCACCAACGACACGACAATCAACGTCACTTACAACAGTGTTACTATCCCTCAAGTCGAGGCTTTGACAGAGTTTTCCAAATATTGTTTTATACCAGCCAAATACGACTGCTTCGGAACCCAAGTACGGTCATCTTTATGTTTCTTCTGAAAATTCAACATTTATTACTTTAATTCAGATTTCAAGTTTCAATCTATTGATTACAAAAAAAAAATATGACTGTTTAGGTTAACTAATAACAGTTTCTATCTATTGAAAGAGCTAAAGCAAATGTCTTGATATCATATCACATAAGTGTAAACATAGAAAACAAATCCAGGCTTTATACTAAAATCACTGGACTACTAATTCAGTGTACTTCAAAACTTTTAAATGTTCTGTATTCCATCTGCAGATCAGTACCAGCCTGCTTCTTCTGTAATTGGGTCTGATTTGAATATTTTAAATTTCTATTTAACTCATGTCAGAAAAGTCCAAGCTGACACAATTTCACATATTCTCACTTAGGTAAAAACAAAATGTTATGCATTTTTTGCTGGATACCTGCAATGAAATTGCATCTTTCATTTATTGATTATAAACAAATTATATGCCAGAGAAGCAATGCATCTATCCAAAGTCGGTGTATTAATTTACATATGTTAATGTAATATATTCTTTTGTGTAGTTTCTGGGACTTAACAAATTTTACTGGAATGGAAAAGATAACAAGGAGTTCCGTTACTTTGGAAACAGTGATAATATACGACAGGAGTGCTCGTGCGGGACAGACAACCACTGCGGAGGCAATCAATCAGAACCAATACTATTACAAAGGTATGGAAAAGTCACATACGGGTATTGATATATAAATGTATTCATTTTATAACAGCTTGATAAATTTGCAAGACTTGAACTGCAAATAAAGTAGATTTGAAATCAAATATCATTAAATGAGAACATAAGCGACTGGCATTTTGTATGATGGTTACTCTTGAAATTATTTGCAAATTAATACAGTTATTGCGCTTGTTGTAAAGATTCCTTGAGTTTCTGTGAGATTACTTATCGTGAAACATGAATAATTCCAGAGAAACAACAAGTCGTGCTGCCCAACCACAAGGGTAATATATATTTATTTTTACGCACCAAAACCATGATACAATAGTAAAGATGGCCGGGTTGGCGCGCCGTTGTTGTCATCTGCTACAGTCACTCGAAACTCAGGTTTTTTGGCGGCTTTTGCCGACTCTTCCAGACAGGCTTTAAATAAAAGAATTATGAAAAGGAACTCGAGCGCTTGAAACCAACACGACTTTGTTTTAAAATTTTCACGTCATGTGATCAATATATAATCCAATCAAATTATAAAGATGAAGTATGATATTTTAGTTAACGTGTTGCATTTGTTTTCTCATTACAGGAAATGTAGCTGTGATTCGACGGAGGGTGAATGGAGAAAAGACGGAGGAGTGCTCTCAATAAAGGACGATCTTCCTCTCAGGTCTATGACCTTCCTTAAAAATGACATCGCCGGTGCACAGGGAAAAATTACACTTGGCAAACTGTACTGTTCACAAGTAGAGTACAGTAAGTATTCTGTCCAGTGGATAGATAGATTGTTTTTAACATGAATAAACATCATATGATACAAGAAATAAGGAAGTAAAAAACATCTGTGTCGTAATAATGTCATAAATATGCTTCACGTAGCTCTTAACAGCTTCCATAAAAAGAATTAACATTGTTATATATATTATAACTCTGTTGAGGTAAACCCTTAACTAAGAGCAGGGAATTGTTGTTTAAAACCTGTGTTGCACTATCTGATATACTTTGATATAGATTTATGATAAGACAACTTTGACGTTAAATCTGAAATAATGTATCCGTTTGAACAAATTGATCGAGATTCGTGTTTTCTCCCGTGTATTTTGCTGGCGCATTTATAAACAGTGCGTTCAATAACATTATTACGACGTCATCATTTGCACATGCCCGTGTTACATGTATGCGGTTTTTGTTTCGAACATCATTATTGTTTTACATAAAAAGTATGCGTGCTTCAAATTGACTTCAAAATTGAAAGCCATTCAAATTGCCATCAGACAACCAACATGGGCGAAAGTATGAGTCTCCAATTCATTTCCCTACATTATGATATGTTTGGCACGTTATCCTACTAGTAACGAGGCAGTTACACTTACGCTAATAATTATGCAAGCAATTCAGCAGCTAATATGTTGTGTGACATTGTTTTTAATTTTGAGATTTCTACACTTTCATTTCGGTAATGTGTATATATGTTTATCAAGATGTTTTGCTATTTTTATCTTATTTTTCACAGATCCAAATGAATGTGAATTGGACATTCATGACTGTCACAACCTTGCTAACTGTGAAAATACAAATGGTGGTTTTGAATGCCACTGCCCGGTGGGATTACAAGGCATCAAACGAGACCCACTTGTGGCGAACGGTCGAAATTGTTATGGTGAGACGTTAAAACCATAGGTTGTCATAAATATATTACACAGGAACAAACACTGTGGTTTAAACTACAGAAACCATGAGCTTTTATCGTGGAAACGGTGTCATTGTGATTTATTTATTGAAGCGTCTGCGCATAATACGTAGACAACTATATTTTGTATACAAATGTACGAAAGTAGCGATTTGTGGGTTTGAACTGTTCAAACTTTTAATCCTGTTTGTAGTCACTTATACCAAAGTGTTCTAATTTAGATAAAAGTATATACATATGATATTAGCAAAAATGTCAACACCACCAAGGAATTTAATTTTAAATTATGTGTGGATCTTAAACGGTACGGTATACAACGTCGCAGGTTTTCATGTTTTTTTTCCACATTATGTTAAGGACTATGAGTGCCATATACAATCAAAATAATAACATGACCAGATGAACTCTGTTTGCAATCGGCGATCGACAAACAAATGTCTAATTGTAAAATGAATGATTCAAGTACATACATATATTTCTGTCATATGTTGTGGTTGCATTTGCTAATTTAGCAACTATTGATCAATTATGGACTTTTATTGAAATGAACATGTATGGACCTGCGTAAGTTATATTAACGGAGACGAAATATCACTTCCGTAAGTTCATATAACCACTTCTTTATGAAATAAAAATCTTTAATTGTTATATAAGATGCTACATAATGTTTTATTATTAAACAAGATAAAACGTAAGGAAATTGTACATAGGAAAGTAGGAGGGAGCGGTGTGACATAATAATTGAACTGATGCCATAAAGTTAATATTGACCTGATATTTCTTAAAATAGTAACACTGAATTCGTATCAAAAATCAGCGATATCCTTTTAATAAAGCAATGAAGATGTCAACAGAAAATAGTTCAATACTTAATTATAAGTAATTGTATATATATATAAAATTTTACACTCACTTTACTTTCAGACGATGATGAATGCGCTACCGGAGTTTGTCAGCCTGACCGTGCAGACTGTACTAACACATTTGGGTCATTTACTTGTACATGCCACGATGGTTACGTAATGGCGGCGGGATCCGAAACAGTCTGCAATGGTATGGATATATTCGCTAAGGTCAAAAGAAATATGTGTGTTTCAGATATCCCGACCTATACTAGACTTGCCTTCCGACCCTAGAACATTTAATCACTTACTTGAATCAAAATTAATTTCTTATACAAGCAAAGCTCACATTCACTTATTAGAATGTGCTTTCTTCCTGTTCAAGACACTGGCCCGTTCTTTGACAGCTTACTAGCTACTGTTATGTGTGAAAATGCATTTTTTTTTAATACAAAGCATATTATTGAATCCCATAAGTAAAATAAAATGAAAAAATAAATAAAAATAAAAGGATAAAAATATATATATATTTGCCTACCAACCTACCCTATTTTTTTCTGGTATGATCCATGAAACACAAATAATTTATGTTTTGGCGTTACTAAACTAAATATATGAATATGTTCATCCTGTTGTATTTGATAGTATTTTATTGCACTTACGATACGATATTTTAATATTTGAGCAACTCCATATCTATATACTTAGAATCTTGTCCAGATGTTTTATGAATATATGAATAGTGCCCAAATGACAATTGTGTACTCTCATTCAATGCCTTCACAAGCAGTTATATTAAAGCGGTTTGAAACATCAAATGATTTACATGACCGGGGTACATTCAGCGATGATAAAACAAGATACATTGAAGAAACTGACAAAAGAGGGGTTGTATATAAATTACAAAGAAGTGCATTCAGAACAACGTTTTTGAGTAAAGACAACTTTGCTTTCGATTGGTCAAAAACTGTTACATCCATTCGGTGTGCGGCTGAAACGAACTTATGGTGATAGTATTATGTACAAATATGAATGTATACATGTTTGTTGAATTACGTGTAGCAAGTATACAACAGTGTCGGTGTACCCTTAATACCCTTAATAACAAATAGCCATTCTGATGCACACAATTCACAATATGTTTCTGTCAAACAGACATCAATGAGTGTGCCAACCCTGATGCTTGTTCTCCGCATGCCGATTGCTTCAACAGACCCGGGAATTACGTCTGCAGGTGCAAGCGTGGCTTCAGGGGCGACGGTTTTAATTGCACGTGTAAGTAACCTGTTCTATCTATTGAAAGTTCTGGGAAGCTTCCATCCATGCGTATTAGGTGGTTATGCCGTTTGTTCAGGCAAGACTTTTTATGGTATAAATTTTATTGTACAACTTGTGAATATCGACAGGAATCATCCTTTTACATATAGTTTATGTTGAGGCAAGCAGGCATTTCGAAGTTGAAATGATATTGATAACCACAGTTAAGGCGATATATGTTCAGTTTATTCTTAATTACATACAAATACAAGTACCGGTTAGTACAACAAGACGATCAGTAAGGATGCTTCAAATAATCTTTCTTGTGCTTCTGTTGCATTTCTTTATGAAATCTACAACAGTATGGAACAGAACTGATAACGGAAATGCACACATTTACACTTTTACTAATTTGAATAAAAAATATATGTAAGAACAGATTATTGTGGTTGTTACAAAATTCAAATAATCCCTTAGTTTTTAAAACACCGTAAGTTCAAATTGCTATTTGGTTGATACTTAACCTTTTAGGCAAAATATGATGGCTACATAGGGTTGAATGTAGATAACGTGGAGTATATTTGATATATACATTGCAATCCTATCACATGTCTCGTTGTAACATTTTGCATCCCACATTGATATTCATGACTTTAGTGTGTGTGTATTTTCACAGCAATCGGAATCTGTTCGTGTTTCGGAGATCCCCACTGTCTCTCCTTTGACGGAAAGTGGCTCCATTTCCAAGGCGACTGTCAGTATACGATGGCAACCGATGGCTGTAAAGGACAACCACCTACATTCGAAGTCAGATCTAAACATTGGAATCAGAACATTCGCGGACTTAAAGGCGCCACATGGATTGAAGAAGTAGAACTCATCCTCTATCATGGAGGACAAAACACGGTATAATGCATTTTTTATAATTTTTCTGGTAATTATCGACACCGCTAAACCAAAATCTAATCTCTATGGGTCAATTTGTGCTGTATATAAGGATATAAATACAAAGTGTTACACTAATATGAACTAAAATGTCTTCAATTTTCCATCAGTTGCAATTTTTGTAATGTTTGGCCAAGTATTAAATAGATACTGTAATACAATGATCATTTACATTATAATTGTTTCCCCGCTATTGCGATGCGAGTGCCCTATTGCTATCATGATATATGTCCAATAAGGGTTTAGAAAGTCTCTAGGGTCAAAGTTAAGGTCACTTTTACTAAAAATGGATTGTGTGGTGTAAACTCCTTATCTCGGAATCCAATAGTCTCGTCTTTTATTTTTACATTTGTCATGGTAATATAATGTGATATCCATTTGTACAATGGAGACTCAAAACGTTTCTAAGCTCAAGGTCAATGTTACTAAATAGATCCATGGGTGGGGGTAAAGCCCTTCTCTCGGAATTCCAATGACTTATCTTTTAGAAATTTGACATGGTGTAACACTGTGAAAGTGTAGATGTGCAGTGAAGGTTTAAATATTATTTTTAAACTCAAGGTAAAAAATATTACTAAAAATAGATAAAGGTGGACAAGGCTAGGCACATGTCGGGCCCTTGTTGACCTGTAAGTGTTTGAGTTCCTGATATCGTCAGGATATTTCAATTCATGAAACAGTTGATTTATTTCATAGCACGTGAGTGTGAGCGTGAAAAGTAAAATGTATTCTATATTAGGCTATTTAATGAATGTACCTAACATATTCATTTATCAAAATCTTATTTCAAAATGTTTTTGAGACTGATATTTTTACTAGTTGCGTTACAAGTCAGTTTCACAAATGATCTTCTTAAAAAACAATCAAATGACAACCGTTAATTGTTATGGTTATAACACACAACTCTTTTTCTTTTGATAGGATCATATACAATATAGGTTGGGACATGTATACACGATTGATTTCTATTTCAGACGGTGACGCTCAAGCAGGGTAGTAAGGTTTGGTACAATAGGGAATTGTATCCTGTCCCAGGTACACCAGATGAACATATTGACTTCCGAAGATTTGGTAGCTGGATCGTAAGTAGAAATTGTAATGAAAATGAATTGACAAATGTGGGAATTTGCCTCTTCGCCTCGGCTAGGAAGACAGTTTTATTTTACAACGCTATTTTTCTCATACTCAGATAGTTGGAGGTTAGCCAACAACTGCCACGCGATTGACATTTCTTATTTATAGATAAGAAACATGAGAGCCTTGGCTCTTGCCATTTTCTTGACTTTAATTTTTCATTAAAAATGTTAACCTGTATAATCATTAAGGCCTTTGTGCTTGTGCCATAGTTAAAGACGAAAAAATCTACTTCGTAAAAAAACTTAGACATATTACCGAGTACTATTATATTACAATATATTTTTATCAGTAAATTTCAATTTGCTCGATAATTATTGCGACCAATCACATGCACTAGAACTTGTCTTTGCAAAACCTTATCCATGAACAGGTTTAAATAAATGTTCAGGCTGTTTTATAGTGTAGATATTTGCCGTTTCTTTTAAGTGTGTACTGCTAGATTTGCATACCATTATTTATATGCACCAAATTAAAGCACAAATTGATATAAAAATATTGGAGACAGACAACAACATGCAACTGTCAGAATGGAATTAATTTATGATTTCCTTCTCCTACTATCTAAGGAATGTTTTGAAATGATATTTATCTAGATTTTACTATCAAAATATAAACAGTATTGTTTTAAAGTATTAAAAAATTCAGCGATAATTGCTTAACTATGGTCCTTTAAAGAAATTGAATGTTTTTTTTTATATATAATTTAAGAAGAGGTGTCTTCCAAACAATGCATATGAGTAAGGACAGCTAAGCTTTCGATTGGTCAAAAACTGTGACATCCGTTCGGTGTGCGGCTTAAACGAACTTATGCTTATAGTATTATGTTCAAATAGTAATGTATACATCTTTGTTAAATTACGTGTAGCAAGTCTATACCAGTGTCGGTGTACGTGTGAACTGGGACGGATACCAGGCAGTTGAAGTACTGGTTCCTCAAAGCTTTCTGGACACCACATGTGGTCTCTGTGGTAACTACAACTTGAACCCGCATGATGACTGGAAAATTGGAGAGTATTGCCCAACACCGGGGAGTATAGTAAGTACTGTGACACTGTGAATAATGTTAATTTTACAGACTGGAGATAGCCTATTGTCATTGGACAAGTACACATGAGGTCATAGCAAAACTAGAAATATAACATTATTACCGTATATCACACTCAAAACCAATTTGGATAACTTTTATAAGTATTTGTCATTTGCATCATCAGAAGGCAGGCTTTTCAAACTGCTCTTCGTCCGGGGACTGTGGTCCGTAATTCCGTCCGTCACTCTGTCCGTCCGTTCTTGTTAGCGCTTTTTTTTCAGGAAGCACTGGAAGGATATTTCGAAAATTCCAATGAAGTTTTCCAATGGTGTCTAGTTATACTTATCATGGTTCAGAATATGATAAAATAATCAATGACGAGCAGCCTCTCGAAATTTCAGAGTTAAAATTTGTTATTTTTTATTCTCAGAACGTACGGGGGGTGGGGTGGGGGTGGGGGTGGGGGGGTCTCTCTAAAATGTAATATGTAAGTTCTCTTGGTTTCTAGTTGTGCATGTTTTGTTTTCTTGTGAGATAAATTTTGCTATCTCTATTTCTCAGAAATCACTAAAGGGATGGTACTCAAATTTCACATGAACGTTTTTCGTGGTTTCTTATCATGTACATCATATTTTGGGAAACAAAAATTGCTTACAGGTAGCCTTCTTGAATTTTGAGAGTTAAAATATGTTTAGTGCTTCTTCTCAGAAAGCATTAGAGGGATCTTTCTCAAATGAAATATGTAGGTTCCATATGTCTCTAGTTGTGTATTTTTACTTTAAGACTGATTGGAAATCCAAGATTGCTGAGGGTGGCCATCTTGGATTTTGCAGTTTTTGCTATCTCTATTTCTCAGAAAGTACTTGAGGGATCTTTCTCAAATTATATATATACGTTCTCCTTGGTCCCTTGTTAAAACAACCACTGATCATAATGAGATTTTGTGCCTCATTAACAGCACTTCTAATTATGTCAGAACTGCAATTTCTAATGCCATTCTTATACAAAAGCATTTCCCACACAATCAAATTAAATATTACAGTACCAGGTTAAAAGTCCATACAAGATTCTCGTTTAGGATTTCCATTATGGTTCAGGGTAGTAGTACATATAAGGAAAATGAATAGCAAAGAAGGTAAAAGATAATGTTTTGTAGATCTGATAAATATCCTTTGATGATTGGAGAAAAGACCCTTTTAGGACCTCTTGTTAATTTTATTCAAATTTTGATATTTACACTTCACGTTTAATGTTTTACAGATTATTGTACTAGTATTTCAGGCTTTAACGTGTTTAAACGAAGACCAAACTCAAATGTTTGAACCACTCTAACTTGATTTCATTACATTGATTTAAATATTGTGTATGAATGATGCATTAAAAGTGTCCTATTTAAACGTTTTAAATCACAATAATAATGTGACGTATGCCTTATGTTCCGACTCTTGGGGTCTGTTCGTTTATGCGGACAACCGGTTTGTCCATATTTAAAAGTGACAATTTTGGTTATAAATCCTGGTGGACCTACAAATGTGTATGCGGGCCTTGCAAGGCTTTGCCAAGGCTCGCCTGAAAGCAACTTCGGATTACTAGGTTCGACCTTATTTAATAAACGAACAACTGTGGTCCGACCGGTTCCACCGTTGAAACAAAAACAGACTTGTATTGTTATTATGATAGTGATTCCCATTTAAAATGGTATTTTATTATCTGCAGACAAACAACGCTAATATCTTCGGTAACTCGTACGTGGTGCCCGGGTACAAGGAGAAGTTCCCCCACTGTGAAGCTGATTGCAATGCTCCAGAACCGCCTAAAGCTTGTACAGCCGCGGAGAAAGCGGAGGCTGCCGCATACTGCAATAAACTTTTCCTAAACGAGCAATTCAAGGTAATAGTGGGTATCTGTATCGCGTACTGTTGGTATTCTACGGATCAAACGAAATATCTATAAATACACAACCTTCTGGGAGTTCCATTTTTCAGTATTGCATGGTGATTTAGCAGTTAACGTTGCATTGCGACCAATATAGAAAGATTCGGTTTAGTTTATTTGCACACGGAAATAAAGCAGATACATGCCATAGATCTTTCTGTGACTTTTCTTGCGTACAGAAAATTCTAATGACTAACGATTAGTTGTACCATTGGTTACACTAATTATAAAATCTCCGGGTCCGAAGCCGAAAGAATTCATATGTTTATACTTGTTTTTCTTACAATAGTTTATTATAGATAATAAATTCGTTCAATGTCTGACTTGCCCATTTTTTGGTACAATGTGTAAGTACATTGTACGGTGTATTTGTCTATGGATATCAGCTTATTTGTGCTGATGTTGCATTATGGTAATACATATAACAAAGATTCGATCAGCTCTGAAGTAATTTTCTAATTATCTAAACTTAACGAACAACGTGTAACACAAATTGGTATAGCACACACTTGAAATTTCAAATTAACTCTTTGACCGCATTTTCTTTATATATCAGTATTTTGATTTTGAAACATTGTTTTTGATTCATAGGAATGCATGGAAGGAATTCCTAAAAGTGCACTGGACGGTTATATATTATCTTGTGTGGATGACTTGTGTTTGGTTAAAGACAATTTTGACGTGATAGTTTGTAACCATGCTAAAGGTATGGTGAAGGAGTGTTCAGACAATTACGGCGTTGTCGTCACTGATTGGCGGACAGTCGACTTCTGTGGTAAGTAGATTTTTACATTTGCAGATGCATGGATAAAATTACTGTAAATCGCTGTTTTTCGCGAGAGATTACTTTTCGTATATATGCGTGAAAAGGCCCTTTCGAAAATTCTAACTTTTCCTACTATTAATTTCAGTAATCATTATTATCCTTATTGAACGATATCATTTCAATCGCGACTTAAGGTGTTCACAAATTAACCTTTGAGGAAAATAGCTCAAAATTAAGTGCGACTTTGGTTACAAGCCTTTTGAAAATATAGGTTTGTATTTTCTTGCCATAAAAACTGATTTTGATTTTGATGTCTGTACCATTAAATGTCAATAAGTTAAAAAGATTTCTATTCTTTAAAGTGACATTTGAACAGAAAGAATATCAGTTTGATACAATGTATAAAATTCCAAATTTCAATGCATGAATCCAAATGCCCCAGTCCCGAAACAAAATATACATAAAGCATAAAAATAATAATAAAATATATATATATATATACATGTATTACGATTATTGTTTTAGAACCGCAATGTGGACTGAATATGGAATATTCATACTGCGGATATCCACCAGTTGAGGGAACTTGTTTCGACGTAGAAAGTACTGCACCACTTCCAGCTTTTAACGATACCTGTCGAGAAGGTTGTTTCTGCAGGGACAGCTTCGTCATGGATTCATCCGGTAATGAATGCGTTCCCAAGGAAGACTGCGGCTGTATATACAAAGGACGATACTACCAGGTTAGTTTTACACATTACAAGTATGCAACTCTGCCTCAGTTTAAAGTAAAAACGTTCGATTAGTTTAGCAGAACCTTTAAAACATTCCCCGCAAAACGAAATTTGGGGGTATATAGGAATGTCCATGACCCTTTTAAGGACAAATCCTTCTGAAACCGTGTAATAGATATTTCTTTAACTTTTGAGCTCGGTCACACTTTTTCTAGTTTGTAAAAGTTTGATATTAAAACTAAGGCATGTTTCTCTACCATTCAATTTAGCTACATGAAGAAATTATATAATTTAGGTACCGTGCAAACAGACGTGTAGTTAATTCAAAACAAAGTCTCTGGAGTTTTTAGAGCAAAACTGTGAAAAGAAAACGGTAAAGATATTTATATTATTATAACAAAAAACTAGTTACAAGGTTATACAACTTTTATGTCGATCCCAGAACGGTATTCAGAAACATTAAAACTTTATCGGTATTGATATCAACCTTCATCCAATCTATTCTGTCTATGATAATAGACGTTACATTCCTCAGAAGTAACATACCGGCTTGTCCTACATTAATTTAATGGAATATTTCTCCTGTCCGTTTCTGATTTAAAACTTAAGATAAAAGTATGAAATATGGATGCAAATGAAAAATGTCCTATAAAGTTGACGTATATATATTCATATATACAGATAAATAGCTTTAAATGTCCATGTGACGGTAAAATATAAATAAAACAAAACACGAAGACTAGTATAATCTGCTAGCGCTTTCGCCCATCTTGGGGCTCTTCAGGCGATTTAAATTTATTTCTGACGTAATAAATGGGGTACACATACTTAAGACGTCAAAAATTATGACATATATACATATCTATAACAAAGGAAGAATTGTGTATAGGCCGCAAGGTATGGATATTATATCAATATTTATAAAACATCTCATTTTTTTACTTAAACAAGATTGCAGAAACAATTTGACCTCGGTATGTGGACATAAAATCAGTATCTATACACAAACACATATTGTTGAATTACTTTCTATTAGTTTGGAACACAATTTAACATCAATGTGTTGACATTTCAGCAATATTAAAGCTAAAGTTTATCATGATATGTCTTTTTAATAGGTTGGAGAACAATTTGTTACCGCAAACTGTGAAGAGACGTGGGAATGTCAAGACACACATAAGTTCTCTAAGTCCAAGCTGAAGTGTCCTGAATTATCTGAATGTAAACTGCAAGGAGGAATATACGGGTGTCACTGTAACACCGGCTATATCATGGTGAATGGAGTATGCATATGTAAGTTACAGAGTCACTAGTTATGATTTGATTTGATGTATTGCGTAAAACACATGACGTGCATAGCTTTTCTTACTATACAGTTAACAAATGACATTTTGTTAGACACATTTATATATATATATATATATATATATTATCAATGATCTGGTCACGAATTCAAATGTTTGGTGCATATTTAACCATGTACACATAATAATTTATTTATCACGGACGGTTAATTTTATGACTGTTCGTGGAACGAATAGATCTGCTGTATAGTACTGCATGTCGTACGATTCGACTGATGTGCCCCACTCCCTTGCAAATCCGTTATCTTTTCTCCTTACTTTCTGATTAAAGGACATTTAAGACATCAAAATTGATCTGCTGCAAACCGCTACACTTTGGATATCCATGTTCTTCTCTTTCTCTTGTCTACGCTTTCTTTTCGGCGTTATTTCCCTCCTAAACAATCGTCCTTATATCGACTAACTGTCGCGAGGGCGTTAAACCCCAAACAAACAAACATTTATATAATTGCACGAATTCAAATCATTGTGCATAAATTGTTTGAATCTTGAACTAAACTATACAAGGTGAAATATTAATCCATTATTTTTGTCATTGTGTATAGTTGACCCCTGTGGTTCGGAGCCATGTAAAGATATGCCAGACGCCGAGTGTAAGATGGTTGGGAAGAGCTATGTATGTCAATGTAAGATGGGTTTCCAGGGAGACTGCAAGAACTGTGAAGGTAGAGTTTGTCACGCACTATCAAGTCCTTTCAATTATCATTGTTATAAATACAATATCATCATGCCACAACTTTATCAAAGTACTCGGCAGGTAGTCATAATTGATATTCTTACCCCAAGAAAATCCAACAAAACATATTGCTGCAACGTATGCTTTAAATTGCAAATATGTATACAAATGTTAGGTTTTGATGTAGTATTTTATATAAATATTTAATGATTCAGTGAAACAAAATCTAAGATTATTTACCTAACATTCACAGAATTATGCAGTGTGTCTTAAATCTTGGATTTCATTTTAATGATAAAATACTGAACATACCGGTTGGAAAACTAAGCTACTTTTAACACATAATTCATCACTTGAGTAATAGTGTTTTATTGTTTACTATTGGTTCAATCATAGATTTCTTATTATGATCTTTAAGACATTGATGAATGCAAGACGAGGACGGACAACTGTACCAGGTACGCTGAGTGCAAGAACATACCTGGCTCATTTACCTGTACATGTCGTAACGGGTACAAGAAGATTGGAGACAAATGTCACGGTAGGTTCCATGCATTTATAAGGCGTTTTATAAATTCGTAAAAATACATTTTGACACTCGAAATAATGAAATATGCTGTATATCACTTTTTTTCCTTTAAATACCAAATATGTATTTTTGAAAGTTATTCATGAATTTATAAAGAAACAGTTGTTATTTCCAACTGTAGATAATGACTTTGAATCCTTTTATAAAAATCGTTAATAAATAATTTAAATAGGTTTTGTAATAAATCAAGCGAACCTGTTAACTTTCATTAAATGGTGAGAGTTTCAACTGAGATTCATATTGAAGTATTGAAATGATAGATATTGATTTTAGGATGTGTTCAGGTTTAAAAAAAAATGTATTTTGTTATTACATGCTATTGATTACTAGCAAGATGACGTCACATATTTAATAAAGAAATTGTGGAAGGTAAAAGTTGTTTTTTTCTATCGATATAAGGCAAAATTATTTCCTGTGAAAAACGAAATCTTCACCTCATCAAATGTCCATATATATGTAATGCAAATTAGAGTATCATTTTAGGTGCATTCGTAAGTGATTATTTTCTTTTTTATTCTTTTTCTTTAGATATCAATGAATGTAATGATGAAAATGTACACAAGTGCCCAGCAGGAACAAAATGCTATAACACTATTGGTGGATTCTTATGCGAACCATGCAGCGGTAAATAAAACAAGCTTAATGACTATATTTTCTGTATATATAATTGACAGTTATTTTGTTGTTTTAATAATACTGTATACGGGACAATTTCGCTGCAGTTTACCTTTTACATAGTAATTACATTTAAGGGAGAAATTTACACTAGGCGAAACTTGCTTTTTTAGGCAAAGGACGAATATCTGACGTGGCGAAATTGTCCCGGCATGCAGAACTATACCACTTTGTAGGCATTCATTTATTTTACATAGAAAAACAAAAAATATACAGTCAAACCTTGTTGTTGCCGAATAAAATGTCTCGAATACTCAGAGTATCTGTTGGTCTGTCATGAAAATGCGTTTTGCTATGAATGTTTACTTTAAGGTTTACTCGTTGATCTGTTAACAACTTGTTACACCAGAGTCGTGTATCTGAACTCGGAGATATGAAATACCTTTCTAAAGCTAAAATAAAATGTTCAAAAGCACGATTTTGGTTTCTACAGAAACAGTGAATACAGCGATACTATATAAAGTATAGATACATCCACCCTAAAGATAGTGACTTTATCACAAAACTAATCGCAAATGCTTTTCATTTCAAAATCAATTGAACACTCCGGATTGACCGGTACAAAGTTAGACCCTATAAACGAAAAACAATATTAACATTTGTTTGAAGCAAGGCACATTCCACATGCCAATTTTTAAATATATTTTTCGACTCTACGCATTCAGTAAATCAATTTTAATTTGGGAGAGTTATATTTTCATTGTATAGAAAAGCAAAGAAGATCTCACGAATATTTATTGAGGCATTTTTGCGAGTCCTCGGGATAAAGTACAAAAAAATGTATTTGCTGAAATTAAACGATCTGTAAGCATACTAATGATGTTTGTGATATTACAGATAACTCGCCGGGAAAGAAATGCTGCTACTGTAAAGGGTCACGATGTAAGGAGAATGGCGAAGTAAGTTATAAATAATTAACCGTTAAAATGTATACCCTGACAAATTCCAATTTATTTAAATCGTTTCGATACATGCTTTGCTAAATTTAATGCTGATCTAGACCTTCCTCTTTACATATATGATGCAAAACACAATCAGCTATGACTTGCGTAAGAGTTATCGCTTTTACCGCCAATAAGAATTTCTGCATTGTTGTTAATGCATGTATCCTTCGGTATGCCTAGTGTTTACTGTTTCATCATGTTATCATTATTTCTTTTATCAAATAATTTAGATAAATAACACGATATTTGACATTTGTTTATTGACAAAATCACATTACTGTACATGAAATGAGATTTCGTATATTTCTTATTGTGAATCCCTTTCGAAAATAGATAATTTTCTTAGTAGAGAAGCATACATACGTATGACGATGACGTCTGTGTACATTGCATTCAATCACAGGTATGCGGAACAGATGGTATTACCTATCCCTCGGAGAAAGCTATCATCGTTGCCAGATGTGAACAGAACCTCAAGTGGCACGAACTCCTGGTCAACTACTTCGGGCATTGCAAGAGTAAGATATTTGCGTATTTTTACCCTGGTCTGAATGTTACAAGCATCTCCATATTCATAGCCCTGTGTTGAAATATCAATATTCTTAAAAAATTATGTTGAAATATTTGTATACCCCTTAAGGTTTGTTGAGTTCACTATCAGGATTTTCCAGCAGGCTGTAGGCATTCCTATGGGAACAAACTGTGTCCCTTTCTGGACGGCTGTTTTTTGTTTTCACGTGATGCCGAAATAATTATTGAGATTATCAGGGCTGGTAACAGAGATTTTGCCAAGTCATTCGATTTCACTTTAAGATGTATCGATGATAGACCTTCGTTAGATAATGAGAAATAATGTGATCGTATATACCCTTTTGAAATTGAAATCAAGGACACTACAAACTCACCGCAATGGCCAATTTCCTTGATCTTAAATGATCGACAACACGATCAATAGGAACGGCTTTAAACTAAGCTGTATGATAAACGTGACAATCTTGATATATCGATCGTAAATTTTCCCTTTCTGGATGGTAACATCTCTGTTTTGTACAGATGATTCAGTTTTTCTAGAGCTTTATCTGACATTCATGTTTTCTGTGATAGATGTCCACTGCTGACAGTCAAACTTGCGAGACAGTGTTTCGAGATTTGTTGTTAAGTTTTATTATCGCTATCATCTTTTCATTTGCCTTGTTTGGTATAAAGGTCAATGATTACACCATAGGTACACCACACTACAACTGACTTTGATTATTGTTATGGGTGTCAACGGTGAAGCGCTCGCTCTTCAAAAAAGTCTCCCAGTATTTTTTTAATGATATCCATGTACATCTTTCTTTTATTCATATTCTACTGTAAATGCATGGATTTGAATTATAGTTTTATTCACACTTTGGCGTCCTCTTATTGCTTCTAATTTTGATTACCTTGGGATTTGATAGAGTTTGATATTTTGCAATTTTGAAATAGAATTAACCAGAAGAAAACAATTCGATTTGAGGCTGATAAGTAAGGAAATGTACAGAAATAGATAAATTATCCTCAATTATTTTGAAATTCCAATCCAGTGAATGTAACACGCCAATATCTTAAATATATTTAATCGACCAGTTCACAATGGTTTTGTAATTATTCAGATGCATTGCTTACTATACCCTGCTAGACCTGACCTGAAATATAATATTCAACCAGATTTGAATTGAAATGAAATATTCGTATGTTGGATTACAATATTTACTAGAGTAGACTTTAGTTGGATATTATTATTCCACTAGACCTGAGTTAAAAAATATATTTTACATCATTTTAGTTGAGATATTGAAATTTTTGTAGGGGTGAAAGATGAATTGTTCATAGCATCCTTTAATATTGTTGGTTCCAATTTATTACCTTTGACTTGAGATGGATTTATAATTTTACTAGACTAAGGTTGGAAATTTGGGAAAGTGATAAATGAAGTGTTGATTTGTAAAATTTAAAACATGTATCCCATTATATTATATAATATCATTTTACTTTTTTTGTTCCAGCTTCTTGTAACAACACAGAGTGTCCACCAAGGCAAACCTGCGTAGAGGAATCACCGCAGAAACCCGTATGTGTATGTGACCCCTGTGATAAAACTAAACCAGAAAATACAGAGAGTAAGTCAGTATTTTACATGTCGGTGGTAAATAACCATAAATCACAGCGACAGTATAATTATACCATAACAAGATAAAGTCATTATAAATAAAAAAAACACAACAGTGATTGATTATGTGTAATGTAGGAAATAAGTAGCGAAGTAACTCAATGACAAGTTATTGTGTAACATACTAACAATAAGTAGCTATCTGACATATGACGAAAAGTGGTTATGTAAGATGGCAACAATCAGTAGATACATGTATGTAAACTAATGGCAATAGTTAGTTATCTAACGTGACAACAATAAACAGCTATGTACCATAGTGGCAACACGTAGGTATGTAACAAAGCAACACTAAGTAATGTAGCGTAGCAACAACAAGTAGTTACATGTATGTAGCTTAGTGGCAATAGTTAGCTTTGTAACGTGACAACAATAAACAGTTATGTACCGTAGTGACAACACGTAGGTATGTAACAAAACAACACTAAGTAATGTAGCGTAGCAACAACAAGTAGTTACATGTATGTAGCTTAGTGGCAATAGTTAGCTATGTAACGTGACAACAATAAACAGTTATGTACCGTAGTGACAACACGTAGGTATGTAACAAAGCAACACTAAGTAATGTAGTGTAGCAACATCAAGTAGATACATGTATGTAAAATAATGACAATAAGTAGTTATCTAACAGATAAAAAGTAATTAGAGTAATTATGAAACATTTCAACTACATTACTTATTGTAATAAGTTGTATGATATGTATTTATAAAATAAGATATAGAGTTTGCACAGTCCTATTCTGTCGATTAATTGAAAAAAATAAGACACATTTAAACTTCTGTTTAGATATTGTAGCCTGGTAATCAATGTTTAAATGAAACGTAATATTTCCTTCATGTTGAATTCACCGTGTATTTGTGAATTTGTAGATAAATAACATGTGTTCACATATATTTGTACACCCCACAGAACCCGTGTGTACAGACACGTTACGACTGTATCCTAGTATGTGTGCTTTTATCGAGTCTATGTGCAACGGTGACACCGATTCTGAACCCAGCTTTGATACCTCGCCTTGTGAGGAGGGGCGTGGTAAGCATAAGTAACTTATTGACATCAATTTATCTCTGGCGTATACAAATTAAATTTCTAATTTATTGCGCCTCACTTTCAGTGGGATTCACGTAAATCGCTTTAATTTGCGAGGGATTATATTTCGCGTTTTAAGCGCGAGGAGAATCATTTGCAAATTTAAATCTTCCGCCAATATTATTTTCAAAAATAATAAAAATCGATATTGAACTAGCAAATGCAAGTACCGACCTAATACCGAAATAATAAAACGCCATCAAATGATAATTTATGGTAGCTGTACACATATTAAGCAATTTAATCTTTTATTTCTAGTATTTTGCTCTTTTTTAAAGTCTTGTTTAACATTATTAGAACAAACGAAATTGGTTTTTTTTTGTGAGGCTGATTAAAACGTGAATTTATGTATATCAAAATTCAATTGGTATCCATCTGCAACACAAATATCAATTTTATTATCTGATTTATGATTTGTAGACATTTTTCATTAATTAATTAATTAAAACACAGGTTCTATACCGCTGTCGGAGTGGAGCCCCTGGAGCCCATGCTCTGTCACGTGTGGTGTTGGAGAGAAGAGCCGCACGAGAGAAAGATTGGACGGCCAATTTTACAGTTCCTTCAACTTTGACCTGGAAGTAACCGCTAAATGTTACAATGACCCGTGCACAGACTGTAAGCATCCCGATTTTATATAAAAAAAAAAAAACCTGTCGCCTTTAAATACTGTTTTGACTAAATTTCATTTAAGTCCAGTTTTGACAAAAGAATGAGTTCATATTATCTAAGTAACGACTTCCTTGAAACAAAAATGTATTGACACAAATATGTACAAAGAAAGGATATGTAAAGCTGCAATTTAATTTTAAGTTTCGATATTTGCAACTTACCAAATGTCATTCACGGCTAAGAAATTTACATTGTAACAAATATTTAACAATCACAATTATGATATTTACAACGTAGTAGCATATTCCGTCTTTGCGTATTGAAGAGTTATCTTCTCTTGGGAGCAGGGATTGATTGTTACCTCATTGGTTTGTGTGAGAAAATTACGTCGTTTTCTCAAAAATTGATGACGTTACTCTCACAAACAAGTGACGTAACAATCAATACCTGCTCCCAAGAGAAGATAACTCTGCAATACGCAAAGACGGAATATGTATTTACATACCATACACTGGATTTCCTGCTTGATTTACATAACTCTAAGAGGAAGAAACTGACAATCACAATAACGTGGCAGTTTAGATGACTACAGCATACATATATATTGATAATTTAACGTCCTAAATACCCTACAGATAATCGTTCCGTAGCATGAAGAATCAATGAGTACAATTTTCATCGGTCAAAATACCCAATACAGATAAAATATTCATAACACAAAGACCTAATGAATACAATGTTCATCGGACAAATATGCCATACAGATGCAATATCCATGACATGTAGAATCAATTAATGGCATTTTCCCTGGACAAAATATCATACAAAACTAATGAATACAATATGCTCCGAATAAATTTGTTTGGGGACCAATTTATCACAACTGTACGTTTGGAAGTGACCTTAATAAAACTTAACCAAAACCAGTATAATGCTAAATATATATTTAATCATTCTGTACCACGCGCACCCTCCTGTCGGTAAACATTTTCAACTTTTTGTGTGTTAACTGTATAGTTATTAATGGTAATGTACGTCGTTCTTTTGTATGTAGCCCCCTGCTTTACTGAAGCGTGTAACAGTACAGAAGTATGCCTCATCGATGCGTTTGGCGCCGCCACCTGTGAATGTCCAGACTGTATGTATGAAGGTTACGAACCAGTGTGTGCCAGTCTTGGCGGGAAACATCACAGCTTCCGTAACCCATGTGATGCTCAAAAGGAGGCTTGTGAAAGTGGAGAACCAATCACCATTCTCAACGAAGGGCGTTGTGGAAGTAAGTTTTTAACTGCCCCGACACCATATAATCAACACGAAGTGTGAGGGTGGTAAACCTACACGAGAAACTGCACCCCTTCCCCTCATATCCACCTACTCAGGCCCCGATATCACTACGAATAGACCATTTGGCGTTAAGATTGACAAATGGTATTTATTTCTCCCACCTCTGCATCTAAAAGATACACTTGTCCCATTTGGAATAACCGTGTTGAACACCCTTGTGGAACTCACCCATGTGAGATACAGGTGTCCACATGGTTGCACTCGGTGACTTTTACTGTACATGTGATGACGTCCCAAGCAGATGACGTCGTTTGTATTATTGTGACGTTACAATTGAGGGTCGTTTGACTGACAGGATATTATGCCGTCGGCAAATCACACCTACCCAACAACATAAGCATTGTTGTACAAATACGCCCTGAAGGTCTTGTGTGGAGCTTCAAATTAGACATATACCTAAGGTATACCGTATCTTTTTTCTGCTCTTCCCAAATATGAACTTAGTTTGTGTGCTCGTTGTCTAGAAATTTGACTGTTTTATAGTCGCCTATATTTGGACCGTAATTTTAGTTGGATTAGGGAGAAAAAAGAGTCAATCATTATGTCTGCAATGCCTTGGTCCTGACTCACATTCAGCAACCTCGAGTAGAATATCCATACCCATATTCCTTATGCCATGCATCCCAAATTAGGAGCCCTGAATTGAAACATCTCTGAGAACATCCGCCCCGATCATAACACCCTTTTCACCAACCCTTTCCTAAACGGTGACATGGCACATTGTAAATGCCAGAAAACCACAGTCTCTAACACGGCACCTCTATACGGCACCTCTATTAAGAATCAGACTTCATAATTGATTTCAAGAATGTAATACATGATTCTCCACGATTTATTGATTTTGATACTTTAAAGGCGGTACACCACTGAGTTGGTAACTAACTATTTACCGTTGTATTACAGGTACTCCGTTGAATTGTACTCTGATGCCAGATTTTAAGGTTTTGAGACATCCTGGCTGTACCAATCTTAGAATAAATAAGTCCAAGTGTTCCGGTGGTTGTGGGCCCTTCTCTAACTTCTGCTGTAATAAGATCAACACCAAGAAGACGACATTCGTACTTGATTGCGGAGAGAACGATCCACATCCAGTAACGGTAAATATATAGTTCTTCTTTCGGAATCTGTTGTTGTTTCCTATAAAGTTCCGATGTGGCCTTTGTTTTGATGACATTATGAAATATTTTGTCATTGTGTGTCTCTTGCAAAGCTTGACAGAAATATATTTGTTTCAACCATAACTATGAAATATTGAAAAGATCTCACGAACTCAGACGATTTAAAATGTTGGTAAACTATCAAGACGTATGTTGACTATAAACGTTTGTCATAGTAGAGCACAATTTAAAATCCAGTCCAAAACAAATCAGTACAATGCGTACTCCTAAAAAGGCATACAAATCAGCAATATACATAAGCTGACAAGACAATTTATGTAGGATGGCGAGTACATGACGCCTGTACAAACAGTCTAAAATGCAGACGTGAAGAGGAGGGTCTTTATATCGTTCTTTAACTTAGCCAGGGTTCATCACATGAATAACTGCAATGAAGCCAACTTTTTATAATAATGCAAGGGAATTTCATTCCACCATTATCAAGCTACTGCAGACTATGACGTTGTTAGTGTTGTAAGTTTTTTTTATTTTTTTTTGTTTATTTTTTTGAATCCTGTTTAATCTTGATGAATGCTGGCCGGATTTAATAATTTTTTAATCTGATGAAAATGCTTCCAACATTATTTTAAATGTTTAGATAATATTATGAACCTTTCTTCAAGTATCACAACTTCTCCAAATATTTTATCATGTCTTAACGTTATTCTGTGTTTGTTGTTTCAGGAGGAGGTCACGGAATCTTGCGAATGTGATCGATTGAATCTAGAAGAAGAGTAAATCCAAATCTACCGCGATACGGTTGTTACTGTTTGTAAAATACATCTCAAATTTCAATTATCTTGTCGTTTCTTTGTTCACTGTTTCGCGACATCATCTACCATATTCTTGATTAAAGAATTCCACAAATTATTTACAAACATCTATACGTAGTTTTCCATTATTATTGACAATGCTTTCTCTGTTCATAAACGCCTTTTAGGTCATACCCTTTTGTCAGTCGTCATTGACATAAGCCAAGACAGTTTGGCGTCAAAACTTAAGATAACTATCAAACTACCGATACTAACAATTAGGCAATGAACTGCATAGCTGTTACAGACTTACCGGTATAGCTGCCACATGTGTTAGACAGACCTAGTGGTAGGCGATGGCGCACCATGCGTTTGTCTGCGTTATATGTGACTGTTTTTACAGTAGGTTTCAACATCTATGCAGTTTATTGGTAATATGTTCGTTCCGTTATATAAAACAAGAGGCCCATTGGGCCCGAATCGCTCACCTGGTATTAATCTCACACTTGTAATCTTAAAGGCGGACTTAAATACAGCTACAGGCAGAATATCAGTGTTTGATTCATAAGAACATATTAAAAGATTTAAACATATGACGCCTGTGACCTTGAATGTCGAACAAGGACATTTAGTTGAACAGATCGAGTTTATTGCCTTCCAACCCAGCATGCTTCTGGCAAAATATCATTACCCTTGGTTATACAGAACACATCATTTAAAGATTTAAACATATATTAACCACTGTGACCTTGCATATTGGTGAAGGTAATTCATTTGAACAAAGTTGGTAGCCCTTCATCCCAGCATGTAACTGGACAAATATCATTATCCTAGGCCTCTTGATTATTCATAGGAATTTGTTAAGTACAAAAGATATTTGACCACAGTGACCTTGAATATGAGTAAAGAATATTCATTTGAACAAAATTGGTAGCCCTTCATCCCAGCATGTTACTGGCCAAATAGCATTATCCCAGGCCTCGTGGTTATTCAGAAGAAGTTGTTTAAACATATTTGACACATGTGACCTTGAATATAAGTAAAGGTCATTTATTTGAACAAACTTGGTAGCCCTTCATACCATCATGTCACTGGCCAAATATCATTACCATAGGCCTCTTGGTTATTAGAGAAGTTGTTTAAAGGTTTTAAACATATTTGACCCCTGTGACCTTGAATATACGTCAATGTTATTCGTTTGAACAAACTTGGTAGCCCTTTATCCCAGCATATTACTAGCCAAATATCATTATCCTAGGCTTCTTGGTTATTCAGAAGTTGTTAAAAGGATTTAAACATATTTGACCCCTGTAACCTTGAATATAAGTAAAGGTAATTCATTTGAACAGACTTAGTAGCCCTTCATCACAGCATGCTATTGGCCAAATATCATTATCCAAAGCTTCTTGGTTATTCAGAAGAGGTTTTATACATATTTGACCCCTGTGACCTTGAATATAAGTGAAGGTCATTCATTTGAACAATCTTGGTAGCCCTTCATCCAAGCATGCTACTTGTCAAATACCACCACCCTGTTAATTTTGGTTATTCAGAAGAAGTTGTTTAAAGTTTTAAACATATTTGACCCCTGTGACCTTGAAAATAGGTGAAGGTAATTTATTTGAACAAACTTGGTAGCCCTTCATTTCAGCTTTGCTTCTGGCCAAATATCATCACCCTAGGCCTTTTGGTTATCACGAAGTTGTTTAAAGTAAAATATTGACACCTGACTCCGAACCACGGCAAAAGCTCACTTGGCCTTATGGGCCAGGTGAGCTAAAAAATACATAAAATTATGCAATTAAGATTGGTCTTTCCCCTACAATTAAAAATCCCCCATTGTTATCAGCGAGGCGGTTCAATACCTATAACAGCAACTGAGGAACATGCAGCTGATGTCACGCATGGTTTCCCTTGCAAAATCGAAACAATCATATCTATTAATTATTTTTTTGTGTTCAGAATAACAGATACTTTTTTTAATAAATCACATGATCATAGTAAATTACCAATGATTAAAAAGTGCCGGGGAATTCTTTAATTTATGTTTTTTTCCGAGTAAGTAGTCAGGCAAACGTATCATGCATTGCAACTAGCAGTTGCAGATATGCTCCCATAAATGAACATACCAAATGAAAAGATGTGAATATAGCTTAATCAAGTGTCGCACATAAGCTATCGTACATGGTATGAATGACCAAGTCTCACAGATGCTTCAAGATGATTACTACATCACTGCCCAGAAAAGGCCACGGTAAAGGGAAAGGTATATATTTACATCAACTGATTTTAAACTTTTGAAGTAAAATCATGTCCCTCCAAACTGTACAAAACACTGCCCAAAATAAATTCATGATGGTTGAATCAGGAAATACCTCATGGGAGTCATGTTGTCACATGATTTCCTGCTTGCCTTCATATAAAGTGATCTTCCTTACCTGTTGGAAATAACAATAACAAACTTGACTGTCAAAATTCAAGATGACTCTCTGGCAGCCATCTTGTTTTCTCAATCACACTCAAGATGAAGTATGTCTTTCTACAGACCAATGGGGTCTTCATTTGAACTTTGAGAAAAGATCCATGGAGAACTTCTGATGATGGTGGGCTTAACTCATTCACCCCTGATGTTTCATAATGAACTATTCCAACCTTCGAATGGGAAGAGTTCAAAAGTGTCTTCAAGGGTGAATGAGTTAAACAGAACTGTTTGGAAGAAAAGCAGATCACAGAAAACAAAGAACAATTAAAATAAGCTACAGTTTATTGCATTAAAAGCTTGAGTAGAATTAGATTCAAACAATCGATAACATCCTCCACAAATAAAAAAATTAACAGCTTAATACTTTTTGTTCAGCAATAGAGTCCTTGCAACAGTAATACACAAAACCAGATGTCTAGGATAGTACAACAGCAACAAGTTGTACAGTGTTTGGCCATTGATCAATGGTATCAATCACTCCCCTATAAGATAATAAAGTCACACAATGGAGTTCTTGATTTATCCATAAGGATTGTACATATAAGCATTGTTACAAGTTGATATTGATGTACTTGTCCACTTGGAAAAGTAACAACACAGTGGAGATATTCTCAAAAATGGCATAGGACTTTGGAATATATCACTTCCATCAAGTAATTTCATGTTTTGACTTTCTTTACATAGAAATCAACCCGAACAAATTACAGGTATTCCTTTATGGCAAAAAAATAATGATTTGAAATTTGTGTCAAAGTCTCCATGTAAAAAGCTGAATAAACATGATGGGATACTCTTATTGTACATCTGGATGTGTACATACCATAAACTACTCTTCCAAAGTAATGTATCAATCTTAAACAATTTAAATTTTTGGTAAATTGAATGAAAGGAAATGGCACAGCTGAAGTTTGACATGAACCACACGAGAGAATAGTATGAGATATTAGCCAATTTGAAATTTCTTGTTGGACTATAGAGAGATCATTTGTTTTCAAATCTTACAGACATTGGTGTCGTTTTATGCCATTAATTCATTCAGGTGCAAGATTTTTAAATAGTATAATACGGTTAAATATCACATTCAGGCTTGGAGGAGCCTCGGACTTGCATATTAAAAATGGTGCGGGACTCACTATAAAAAGTTGTAAATCAGATGTGGTTCAGCGTGGATTTTTCTTAATATGGTAACTGCACCAATTTTTGTCCAGTAATATGCTTGTGTGGTGTTTCTAACTACTCGCTTGTGACTACAAAAGACAATCTATAAGGACATAACAATACAAATTAAGTTAAAGTGTTAACAAAACAGCAAAAAGTCTCGTCAGCAGACTGGTTATAGTGGAGTCCTAACAGAACAAATACGTAACGACAGCTTTATCTGAAATTACAAGGAAAACCCAACATATTAAAAAAAGTTTAACATGATCTATTAAATATTACTAAGAATATATCTTGTGTATATATATTATATAGCCAACACACATCTTAGTTACCCAACTTCACACAAACATTGTATAAATGTTATCTCAATTCACATAGTGTCTCTCTAAAAATAGAAATATATCAGTTTTGATTAATGAGGTCAATGCACAACGATTATGTTTAATTAATACATCGTTACAATCTTCATTCCAACAATTAGATAACAGGGCTAATCCACCACAAAACGTACACATGTTAAACGGTATACTACCGTCTACAACGGCAGTTACATCAAACGGACAGGAAAAGGAAATATATATTCATAGGGGATAAACAAACAACAGTCCATTTTTTTATTTTTTTATTATAAAAACTGCATAAAATTAAGCATTCGTTGTGTATTAATAATCATCGGTATTAATACATAGAAGTACTGAGAGGAATTAATGATACAAATTAACTGTACTTGTATACTAGGATATTTCACATGAAATAATTTAACAGTTCCAAATTTGCAAAATTGCCCAAAACTACATTTTGAATTCAACCATCTTGACTGCACAGTACAATATCAGCAGTTTATGATATAAATTGTATCCATGACCTTGCATGACTAAATAAGCAAATGCTTTTGAACAGATTTTGAGACTGGGTGTGTTGGTGTGGAAATTGGAAAGAAAAAAAAGAATTTGCACAAAGTAGTGTGGTGCTAGGTCTTTCAGGTGGACAATTGAGCAAGAAAAGTACAGCCTGACAATAATAGAGAAAATAACACAGGCTATAACAAGTGGAATGCTAGGAGTACGACATTAAATCTTTACAGAGTCAAGGATCAGCTGGATATCACAAAGGCCATACAAAAACCTCACGCTAAAAGAATAACGCAAAAACTGTCAGTCTTTGCAATACCTACACTTCTGCCGAATGTCTATTGACAATTTATCAATGATTGTTCCTTAGTAATTTCATGTAAATATAAATTACTTACATTTTATAAAATTTCTCTTTTTCCATTGAATAACCCAAATTTCCATGAAAAGTAGATTCAGTGAAAGTCAAAGGATAGAACTCAGCAGATTTTTACACGACATGAAAACTTGTGCAACTCGAAGCAAGGCCGATTATACAGCTAAAATAGATTATAAATATCAAATTTCCATGGAAATTGAAAAAGATTAGGTGTAATAGGTGTCACTGACGGACTGTATTTTTATATTGTTATAATTGCAGGTGTGTAGTTGTGAGGCCAAGTCCCAATACTGCTGGGGAAAACGCTAGGAAAGAATGCTATAATACAGTACATAAGTCATCTTCTAGCTACCACTAGTTTCTATTTCTCCATACTACGGTGGAATACGAAACTTGAATTTCCACAAGCCTTGAAACTACGACTACAAAGAAGCTACATAACATACATTTTACTATGCCCATTTGTTGAAAAACACCTTTAACTTGATGCGCCATTGCTAGCCAACTCTTTCAAAAAATACTACATGTAATATTATTTCACCGTCTGAAATTGTAAAAGTGTTTTCAATTTCTTGTCTTCAAATTTCATTTTAATATTCTGACACATGAGTGGAAATTCTGACACCAACACATCGATCGTGCATTATCGATATAAATTTCAAAAAGTATGTAAAAATTTGAAATTGCAAATCAATAAGTTTCCCATTCATATACAAGTATTTCAAACTACTGAGCCGTGGCATAAAGTAGAACTGTGTTGAAGTCTTTAGACCAACATTTTAGAACAATTATAATTGTGACAAAGCTGATATCCAATTGACTAAAATCACCTCAATGATTCAAAACACTACAATTTTTAATGTATAATACTAGACTATTTTTCATTTCATGATTATTCTAACTTCATGAAATAATGCCTTATTACCAATTACACAAAGTATTATTTAAACTAATTCAGCCCTATACATTATGTACACTAGAAATTATATTCTTTTTACATTCCTCGTTTATTTCATGACATTTTAAGAACACAGTTACAGCAGACTTCATTACATCAAGAAATTAAATTTTGTGTATTTCAATTATTATATTAAATCAAGTAATGGTTCCAATTTCTGATGCTGAACTTAGATTTAAGGAATATACGTAGAAATGATAAACTATAAATACTTAAATAACCTTATATTTATCTATATCAAATGCAAAACCAAATGATTATATAATGGCAATGAGGTGAAATATTGCACAGGCATGGATGCAAATCGTGTTCAAATTCATTGGTTTAAAGAAGAATTTGGACATTTCAAACTTTCATCAAGAACAGTTTGAAAATAAATAATATGATGCAAAAGTCTGGCAACAACGTTCAAATTTAAATATTCATCAGTGGTATTAATTTGACTAGTTTAAATCTCAGCTGCAGAGAAAAACTCTTCCAATTAATATATTTTCTGATTACAGATCTGTAAACTTTCATTTTTTAACCGGAAACCCTGAGGAAACAATACACCAGGCACATATTTTGATCTAGAAGACGGATAAATTAGATGACAAAAAAAAAAAGTATCCATCTACAAAACCATGATGATCATAATGATTTTCTATTATTACATCTGTTTATTATTTTAACAGTAATATAATTCTTTCTCAATTTATTCAGATATATTTATAATCAGTCTTTCCCTATTTTTCTTGAAGAATGTTATGAAATGAAGCTTATATTATTCATGTATATAACATTTTCAAAGCTTACTAATAATATTTGCAAATAGGTCAAGCTTGAAGCCCCTCTTTCTGATCCTACAGGTCACAGACAGTACAACTTTAAATAAGAATGTATGGTTCAGCTGGATATGAAAGAACCTTTTCAAGCATGTACAGTCCATTTATGTTTGAATTTGACTTCTGCAGCTCTGCCAAGAAGCATTACACGTCTGGAGCCTGATGGCAAGATATTACATTAAATATTTAGATAATAAATAAGCTGTGTTTCTGAAACTAATCACTAACTGTAGATAAATGTACTGACAACCTGTACGAAGTACATTAGTGTAAATGCACCAGTGCTGTAAACATGAATCGTATTTTTTTTTTTTACATCAGTCTACAATTTCATTACAATATATTTACAATTACCGGTATATAGGAGAAATGAAAATTATAAACAAAAAACAAATATACAATGGTGTTTAAAATAACCTACAACCTCTTACTTTCAAATATTCATAATTTCACTAATAAAAACAACCTACATTTACAACCACCTCCAATACAAAATGTCACCTGGTTTAACTCATCATAAATTGATAATCTGCAAAACTTGCTTTGTAAACCTTTACATATATTGACAGAAACTATAACAACTCCTTGTTTCTCTGTGAACTAGATAAAAAAAAGCTGAGACAAGTCATGAATCACCCGTACCTAGTATGGCTGTTACAAAAATCATAGCCAAATCAGTACTTTAATTTGGAAGATAGACATGTACAGTGAAAAACTGATGTAGTTATATAGTTCCAACTTGTTTGTTTAAACTATATAGCTATCTACAAACGTCATTACCGTTATTACAACAGCAAGTATGTTTTAATCTAAATTAAACTTTACTTTTTTTTATTTTATTTCACCCAATGTAAATTAAACCTTACAAAGCTGGACATTTTAATGTACAAGCTCGTTATCTACAAATACATGTTCGCCATTTATGTATATCTGGATCTTCTGGCAAAGCTCAAAATATGAAACGCACAACAATATTACAGATCACCTTTCTGTGTGTTGCTTTCACAACAAAAAAGGAAACAATTAACAACCGATCGATATGGAAACAAATAGATAACACAAACCTTGTAAAATAACTATGATTTTTAACGATTTAGCAAACAAACAGTTCTCAGCTTCAACAGTCCACAATATATATATATATCTTATTCTGCATAACCATCAAGATGTGGCGTCAACACGGAAATATTTTTAAATTTGATTGTAGTGAATCACATTAAAACTTCCACATACATAAAAGTCACCCTTCAGTGTATCATTGCAGATCTGTTATAATAATAATTGGAGGTTCTCATAAACCGCTTTATTACAACCCAGTTTGTAGCTCGTCTCAAAGCGGTTCACAAATTATTATCCATGGTTATAAGGCCTTTGAAACCAGCCAATATCTTTCTCAACTCCCTTTCAATTGGGAGCATACAGCCGGTGCTGCCATTTGCGGCGCCAACAGATAGCATTCAACAATTCTAGCACTGCCCAACCATGTACTCATTTACAGCTGAGTAGACCAGAACAAGCGGAGTAAAGTATCTTGCTCAAAGATACAACACAGTGCCGTGACTCAAACCCGCAACCCTTCAGTCATGAGCCCAGCGTCCTCATTGACACTCACCTCTCATCTCCCGCGACAGATAATATTGAGGCTCATACAAACAAGTTTACAATTGTAATGTATCATCTTAGCTCTTAATCGGGTGCAAAATTGTTTTATATCATGTGTCTTGGACATAATCAATTAGGTACAATTAGGCTTATCAATCTTTAACGTAAATAAGTTGTACAACACTTTCATAATTTTGTGGAAAAAAAAATGTTGAGCCGAGAGCAAATTTCAGATAATCTCAAATCATTTCGATAGCACTTTTTGTACAGATAAAATATTTACTACAAACAGGTAAACAATATCTTAATTATATATATATACGTCAATAGGAATAACACACTAGCAGAGTTCTTTAAATCTTAATTTCACTGCGATTCCCTTTTAACTGGATGTAGTGACAATTGTGTCCATGAAGTGCTTCAACAACCTAACAGATTCGCACACAACGTAACATTTAGTACAGCTGCTTAGATGAATAGGACATGATTTAAAAAAATATCTGGTTGGCCGCTTAAACATGTGATCAAGTCTTTCATGTCCTTTCACTTCCATATTCCCGTTTTCATTAGATACCACCATTGAATATATTAGATTCATCATACATTTCAAAATTATTAAAATTTGAATAATACTGAATCTAATTATTTTTTAATAAATGTTTTTCATAACAAATATTCAGATTTCCTTTTTTCCTACTCCTTTCAGTGTAATTGTTTTGGTTTATGAAACTATTACTTACACTGAAGTTATTAACGTTGGTTTCTCAAAACACATTCTCACTTTTTGCGGGACATGAGTAGACCGTAACTAATGTAGGATTTTGTCATTGGTGCAAAATGATTGCCAAAATGAGAGATAGAATTATGCTGCACAGATTCATACAGTACACACCTTCTCTATTTCCATGCAGTGATGATAAAAGAGAACTCGGCCTACTGCCAATGTACATGTAGAATCATTAGAAATATCACTGTATGCCCCTCGTTTTCATTATGGTAACATATTGAAATATTTTCCAACGTGCTTAAAAACGCAATAATAGTTGAAATCGAGTGTTTCATTCAATGTTTTCCCTCAGTACGGAGAAAGGGCACTTAATTTATCACCAATGGGATAATAAGTGTTATTGTTTTTAAAAGTTAATTTCCACTTCATCACAATGTCATCTTTCAGATGTTTTCAGTCTTGAGACGGTTTTTTAGAATATTTTGGTTTAGATTGTATTTTTCCCGGTGGCGAACATTCTTCCTGGTACCTCAGTCCTCATCCTCACTGAGGCATGGGTTAGAGTGTACCTCAGTCCTCATCCTCACTGAGGCATGGGTTAGAGATCATTTTGATAATGGCCTTCATCATGGAAGCAGCAACTAGGGAGGCATAAGGTCCCCACTCCTTGTTCCTGGTGCCATCCCCGTAGTCGGCTATACCTCTGATGAACAGGAAACTGTCCTTCCTATTCCCAACAATGGACTCCAACACCTGATCGAACTCGGTGTCAAAACACATCACACCGTGACGTTGAGCAAAGTCCATCCTCAACTGCTCCGACTTGTAGAAGCGGCCAGAGCCGATGGGGCTGAAGTGGATGTTGGGTGAACCCTGGTGGAGATTCATTACAGAGTCTGGAGACTCGGGATGTTGTACCTCGATAACATTATCGTCACCAATGCCCATGTAGAGTCGGTCACTCTCTGGAGGCGGGCGGTTGAAATCAGCCTCCTGGTTCTTGAGTGTTTCAAGTCCCTCTGTGATATATTTTTCCCAGGGTGCTTTCTCCGGTTTCCTCCGTGATCGGTCCTTGAGCTTCTCCAGCACATTTTGCAGGTCCTTCTCTTTCGGGGTGAAAGTCTTGAACTTGAACTGAATATCACCTTCTTTGTTGCGCAAAACTTTTTCACAGTAATAGTAGAGGGAGTCCCCACTGTCACACGCGGAGACAACGATGTCGCCCAGGCGCACGTGTTTGTAGTAGTCTGTGTAGTGAGGCACCCCGCCAGCAATACCCACTACAAACACATGTTCAATGTTCTGGAATGTTCCTGTAACACAATAAGTATAATGTCATTTCTTTTGATATTCTCTACTGTGAAAAAAACAAAATCAAATTGAAACAACATCAGAGTTTCCATTACTGAACTATTGGTAAGGATACTTCTTACTTAGTTTCAGGGTTGTTAGGGACTTGGATCTGGAGGTGACACAGATTTAAGCGCTTTTAATTTCCAGTGTTTTCTTGGCTAAAAATCTCATTAAGTTACACTTTAGGACAATTTTTTATTCCCTATTTTAATGCCTGAATGAACCTAGGTTGTTAAGCCTGAATGAAGCCTCATACTTGTACCTTAATGAACCTTCTTGGTTTTTAAGCCTGAATGAAGCCTCATACTTGTACCTTAATGAACCTTCTTGGTTTTTATGCTTTATGAACCTTGTCATTTGTTTTATTAACCAATATGTGACCTTGGTCTCCTTATATAAAATATGTATATGTATATACACGAACATTATTCTAATTTATTCTTTATCTACATTTCAGACCAACAACATGATACCAGTATCTTCAACATTTTGTCATGGTGGTATAACCTCTACGGAACAGGAAAACTCAGATATTATGCGCATTTTAAACTGAAATTTTCTTGTTCACAGAAATTTTATTAACGTAAATCAAAGACCTATTATTCTTGTATAGCCCAAAACATTACTACCAGTAATATACTTCTATACAACAATGTCAACCACATGATGAAGTTCTGATGGTAAATGAACGCTGGCATACCTAGTAATCTGGTGGTTGTGTTTCCTGATGAAATCTGGGCTGCCCTAGCATGTCCAATGGCTGGAAGCTTGGTGGACACCACACGGTGCTCTCCGATGTAACCCATTGTGTACACGTTAGATTCTCCTGCGTATGAGATAGTTTGGATTAGGCTGGTATGTTCATCATTCGTTAAAAAAATGGATGAATGCAAGTACGGGACAATTCATCCCAACAACACAAGTGGAATGATGTAAATATCTTCAATACAATAGAAATACGACAAACTCTTTAAAATATTGTAATTGTCTTAATATCATATGTCCTACATTTACAGAGGACAGAGATGCAACCAAAAAAGTCATGAAGTATGGTAGGTATCTAATGTCAGATTTTATTTACATGGTATGTATGTTGTATAGCAGTAAGCGGCAACAATTGTACGACCAAACACTAGCAGTTTTGTTTTTACATGTGACAATATAAATCCTGCTCATCTCAGTGGCAGATCCAGAGACCTATCTGGGGAGGTTTCCAAATGTGTGTGTGTGTGTGTGTGTGTGTGTGTGTGTGTGTGTGTG